CCTCGCATCAGAAATGTTTAATTCAGCCTCTACTTCCTGATCATGTTCCGCTTCGGGAACGTCAATATCATCCAAATTAATTGGATAATTTGGATTGCCGCTTACATGATGATGATGATCCAAATCTGGAATATTTTCAGGTAGGGGGTAGGTCATTTAGACCTTCAAATTGATTCTAAAATTGACTTTACGGTGTCATAGGCGATTCGTTTCCTCCCACACCGAATAAGTTTTCGACAAATGAACGTGGATCCATTTGTTTAGTTGTAATAAGTAATAACTAATAGAAGAATAATTGTATAAATGTAGTGAGAAATGAAAATTGGATGAAATTTCAATAAATATAGTGAGAACTGAGAAATGAGAATTGGATATTATATAAATTGTATATAAAAATTGCAAGTTATCAACACAATAAAAGAAAGTTGAGAGAAAGATAATTGAGAGTTGAGAGAATTGTAAAAAAATTTGTGACTAAATGCCACTATTTATAGAAGAAGAAAAGAAAATATATATATATATATATAAGGACCAAAACGGTCACTAAAAAAATTCAGTGACCGTTAACGGTCAAAAAAAAGAAAAAAAATGGGGGACTGAAACGGTAAGAAAGTTGAGAGAAAGATAATTGAGAGTTGAGAGAATTGTAAAAAAATTTGTGACTAAATGCCACTATTTATAGAAGAAGAAAAGAAAATATATATATATATATATAAGGACCAAAACGGTCACTAAAAAAATTCAGTGACCGTTAACGGTCAAAAAAAAGAAAAAAAATGGGGGACTGAAACGGTCACTGACAAAAGTTGACAGTGACCGTTTGATAATGTGACCGTTTCGGTCACATTTCACACGAGCCGCTCGTGGGTTCGCCGCGAGCGGCTCGTTTTTTGTGCGAACCGAGCGGGCTCGGCTCGCCCACCGAACCAGCCCGCTTGGCTCGTGCTCGGGCTCGTGTTTTTACGAACCTGAGTCGCCCACGAGCTCCGTTTTCGCGAGCCGACGAGTCGCTCGGCCCATTTGCCACCCTTAGCTAAAGGTTATAGTTTTTTTAGAAAAAGTGACACAATGTCACTTTTAAAAGTTTAGTATCACTTTTTTATTAAAAAATTACATATAATGTCACTTATATTTAAAAATGATGTTTATCACTAAAAAAGTGATAAATTTTCAAAAAAGATTGAAAAAAGTAACAAATAGTAAAAAAAAAAAGTGACAAAACTTTAAAAAAAAATAAAGTGAGAATTACTCAAAAAAGTAACAGAAACTCAAGGAAAGTGAGGGGCATAGAAATCAAACGTTAAATGCCATTTTTTTTTTTTTTATTAAAAAATGACATACAATGTCCCTTTTATTTAATAGTGATGTTTTGGCACTAAAAAAGTGGTAAAAACCAATAATGTGACTAAAAAAAATGACAAAAACTTTAAAAAGGTCAGCGAAACTCAAATGCAAACAAAATTCTTATCTTAAAAACAATCACATTGTGACCGTATGCATGAGCATGAATCACTTTTGTCAAATACTTGAAAAGTGATAAACATTCAAAAAAGTAACACAAAAAATGACATAAACTTAAAAAAGTGACATAAGTGCAAAAAAAAAGTGACAAAAACCCAAGAAAAGTGATATAAAATGTTGTAGTATACTAGTTTATGTGTGAAAAAAAGGGTTTTTGAATTTGTTCCTTATTTTAAGTTTCCTTACATTTAAAACCCTATCATGCCAATTCAATAATTTAGCCCTTGTTTGAGCCTTATTTTGAAAAGAAAATGCATTTTTAAAGAATGTGCAGTTAAAAAGTAAGATTTTTTATTTTATTTACGTATATAATTATTTTAATGTTCTCAACCTATTATAAAATTTCTTATTTTAGGTAGCAAACTATAACAAAAAGAGAAAAATCTGATGCATCCAAGATCAGTAAAATGGAAACAACCAACTGATCACCAAGAAGGATGAAGAAGTGCATCAGCTTACCTATTAATTAAGTGAGAGTGTGTGTATTTCATAGCCCTGATTTTTTAACAAACTCCACTAAATTTTGCATCAGTCACAGAGAAAAAACATACCCCAGAACTAAGAGGAAAGCAGCAACTCACATAACAACTTTTGCGTTTAAGGCATCCCAATCCCAATACAACCAACCAACTCACATAACAACATATATTAGTCTTCACTTTGTCCCCTAGACAAAACCAATTCTTCACTTCCCCTATACTCTTTCATCAGTCAAGTCAAGTCAAGCCTCACACTAACATCACTTTCATTTTCCTTATCATAGTGTGTGCTCATTTACTGTCAACAAATGCACAAGTATAAATTAAAATAACTAATGTTTATATTGATGACCAACTTGTATGATATGCAAAAAATTACTTTTGGAATGAATGATAGAGCTAAAACCGTTCATATCTGCCATGCATTGCTTAAAAGATGTAGCCTCTTCCAAAAGCGTGATATGATCCATCTTCAAAAGCTGTAGTAAAAGAATTTTCATAAATAAAAATAAAAACCTGTTTTTTGACTCGAGATGCATCAAAAACACTATAGACTACCTTGAGTTTTCTTGTCAAGTCTCTCAGTGATGAAAACCATTTGCTCTTTTCTTTCACTTGCCCCTCAATAGCAAAGGCTGAAGAATCGAAAATCAGAAGAAAATCTAACTATATAGACTATAAATTTAATTAGAAATGATCTTCCTTACCCAGAGATCCAACATGCATCGATTTACGCATAAGCTCATTCCGAAGCTCATTCAAAGACTTCAAAGCTTCTTGGCATTCTCTGCTTCTGAGCTCATTCTCCCTCTTAACCTCCTCTAAAACCTTTTTTGTTTCTGCAAGTTCCTTCTTCTGGGATTCATTCTCTATTTGAAGCCTATGAAATTCTTCATCCATGGAACCATAACCAACATCCTAGACACGTGTAATTTAGGAAAAGTTAAAAATGAGACTATGTATGTTGAAGCCAAAACTCCTATTTTGATAGGTTTCGAAAAAAATAATTTACTTGCGGTGACTTGCATTGGGGCATGTACGTCAATCCCATTCCTTCTACCTCTTCAGACTCTGAGATAAAATATATATGCATTCATGAGAAGTTCACAAAATTTTAAGCAGTTGAAGTGCAAGATAACACTTAATTATAAATTTACCTGCCGAAGCACTATTCCTAATGGAAATACCACAAACTATTGGACTCCCAATTACTCCCTCAAATCTAATAGACAATCCCTCATCTCCGTTAATGCAAGTTTTAAGATCAGATATCACCAGCGGTGTATTTGAGCCAACACTAGCATAAATATCTAAGCAAGATACAACCTGCAAAGTTTCAACTAGTTTAACACATTTGATCATTTTATGCACCACAATGAAGTAAGAATTTGTTTGTTACCCCATGAATTCATACCTTTTGGTCCTGCAAGCAAACATCAAAAACTCTCTTTCCTGGAGGACCATCAGTAAATACAATCTCAGCAAAGTACAGATCAACCATGTAAGTTCTGGGTTCTAAATGATCAAAATGATACAAACAATTCCCAAAACGTGCAGTCTGGTAAAGACTAAGGCCTTCTCCATCCCCAGTTACGGGATCATTAGTCCTCACAATATCACCTCCATTGAAACAACTATCTTCAGAAAACTGTACTTCTCTTTGGAACATTATACTGTCTGTTGACCCAGCGTTGATGCTCATAATATGAGTGCAGTATTTGAGAGAAATCTGTTCCACAAATGGTGATGCAGCAAGCTCGAAAGAAGAGTCTGTATAAATATCTTCAGAATTTCCTGCTCGATTCTCAAGGGATTCTTTCATTTCAGCCCCCTTGATTCCATTTTCTAAAGAGACATCAATTCTATCACCCTTCAAAAATTCAGGTGAAAATTCATATCCTGGACTAGGAACATCAGGTGAACCCATACATATTACCAGATCAGGTGATGCCACAGACCTGCCTGAAATAATCAAGAAAAGTCATGACTTTTGAAGCTGACACTGCTCCGGATAACCCATGCAGCTTCGCTCACGAATCCTTAGGAATCATTAGAAAAGAAAATCCCCACTTGAATTATTGTTCATATTGAAATGAATCGACATTATTGATTCGAAGAAGAGGGGAGTCGAAATAGATATACATATTTGAGTGTTTCTACACCAATTAAGTCAATTAATTCGATCATAATCAAATTAACAAAAATTGGGACTTTCCTGAACTTCTAACAGAGAAATATAAGCAAAATCTGATCAAGATATGTTCATGAAAAACTAAAATTTACAACTACCAAATTTCAGGATTCAAAATGTCGAGCTAAATACCATCAATCTCGGTTTGACTAGAGTCATCTGAATTTGCCATGATTAAAGCTTCTGAGATACACAACGTGGAAAAAATGCCTGCCAATTAAAGCAAAACCAAGAAAATAAAGAACCCATAAAATATATGAATAAAATGTACTAATAAACAAGAACACATGAATGTAAAATATATTTTCTTACACTTAGAGTGAGTATGAGAGTTAGTATGGGTAAGATCTTGCTGTTGCAGGAAAGCAACGTCAGTTATAAGAAGTGGGTCATACCATTCAAAATCTTCCATTGATAAAGAAACAGTTTTTTTTTCTTTTAATTTTCTTTTTGAAGATTTGAAATGCAAGAAAAAGAGTGGTAGTAATAAGTAATCAAAGGTGAAAAGGGAATTCAATGTTTTTGTCGAATCATTAATGTTATAGAGAGTGTCAAAAGGAGAATGCCGTTAATTTCGTTTTGCTGAAGAAGATCCCTGTTTTCGAAATTTGAATTATTTGAACCGGGAAAAACGGCTATTTTGTTCTCTCTTGGCGGGCAGCCCGCATGAATTATCGCCGGTTTGATTTGGATATTTTATGAAATAACATTTATTTATTTATTTTTATTTTTTTTGAGAAATACAGATAAATTTATCCTTCGTCATACCTTCTAATTCTTGACTTCGATTTAGAGTTTTGATGGAAATTTGTCATGTTAAGTAACTGTGACCTTAATAATTCTTGTGTGGCCTTGTGTAGTGTAAACTATATGTAACATTAGTAGTTTGATTAGTTTTCTTTTATTAAGCTCGTGGTAGGTACAGTTTAGAATTCATATTTCAATCTAAATCAAAGTCAATAATTAATTTTAATCACATCTTTCATGATCTCACAACTTTTTAATCACACATTTTATCAACTTTTATCAAAATATGATTTTAATCTCTACCAAACAGGGGCTCAATGTTGTATTTAGTTAAACTCTTTCAATGCTTGATTTCATACGTAACTTTTCAAATGTTGAGATTTTGTCTTTTTATTATCCAGAGGAGACCTCAAATTTAATCTTGAAAGCAAATATGATGTCTTTAGTAATAGTAACGTTATTATCCAGAGGTGATCTCAAATTTAATCTTGAAAGCAAATATGCAGTCTTGGGAGTGGAGATAAAAATTTTCACTGAGATTTTTTGTGTTTTCACGGTTCTAATTTACAGTGTTAAATTGAGTTATTAATTTCAACCTTGAATGGAAATGTCATGTCTTGAACAATAGTGACCTTATTTACTCGTGTGTGACATCAATTCCACAGCCGCGAAGGGAAAAATAGGGATATCTCATTCAGTTTTTTGTGTTTTAATAGTTGTAATTGAGTTATTTTAAGAGAATCGACTGGTGAGAAAGAAACTATTTTAAGAGATTCTGACAGAAAATACTTTCATTTTAATTTCCTGTCTGTCTTGATTTAAAAAAAAAAAAAAAAAGACTAAAACCCTGAATAATCAAACAATAATACAATTGCAGTATTTTCAGTACAAGAAACTTAAAGATTCATTGTTTTGGGAAAAAATCTTACTGTAAATATATTTCTTCTTTTCTTGAACAGAATACAATTGATCCTACAGAGGCACAATGGAACTTGAACTGTTACATGAGGAATGGATGTTTCCCGATTGAATTTTGTGAAATAGATGAATGTTTAACCTGTTGCTCTTTACAAAAAGAAGCTCAATCCTAACATATATGAATATTTACAACCAAACAGCATAGAGTCGAGGGCAAGAATGCCTGCATCTTTAATCGGCAGCATAAAATAGGATGAGGACAAGGCCATGATGAGTTGTGTCAAATGCCTGGCCATTCTTCGGGAAAATCCAACTGGGTTCAAATTTATGATTTGATATCTTCTTCTACAGCTCAATACCCGCTCCTTCAAGCGCAGCTGTCATTGAGGCCGATGCCTCTTCAAGTGTTCGTCTCTTTTGAATGGAGTTGAAGGCCTCGATACTATCTCCCTCCTCCCAGTCATTGAATTCCTCCACCCCAATGCCACATTCGAGTCCAGCATTCACCTGTCAAATGGAAGAGGATAAAAAAACACACATTTCCACTTCAGCTCCTCTAGAGTTGCTTACATATTATTCTCAACAAAGAAATATTAAGACAATGCGTATAATATTTCAAAGAACAAATAAACCAATTACAAACAATTTTTCCTATTGAGTTACAACACACACACACACACACACAAATATAAAAAAATAAAAATAAAATTACGACATCATTTCAAATAGTTAAGAGTGCTCGTAGAAGAAGAAAGAAGCGACAAATAGACTTCTAAATGTACCTCTTTCACAAGCTCCTTTACCCGTCTCAAAGAACTAAGGACACCAACATGAACTTCTTTGCCTTTTCTCAAAACACGAATTCCAGAGTCTTTAACTATCTTTCCATCTGTTACCATGCATCCAGCAACACGACCACTGCCACTGCTGAATACGGCCCTTACTTCTGCTGAACCAATTGGCACTTGTTCCTGCAAAAATACAAAATTAGAAGTGTTGCTATTTTACCAGTGACAATGATATCATGAAAGTACATCAGCCCCCATATGCCAAGATTAAGCCTGCAACCCAAGAGATCAGGAAACTGAATTCTAAAAGCATCTTACTAATGCAACCTTCTAAAAGACAACGAGAAACAGGTGACTAATCTCCCGAGGAGGATAAGATCTCTCTTTCTTTTCCAATTTTTATTCTTTTCCTCTTCTTACACAAATTCAAGGAAATTTCAAAACATGGAAAACGTTGTAGTTGCATCATGCTTATGTATTAATCTATGATACACCGACACAGACATGTGAATCCAACACAATACATGTTGGATACGCCGACGTTGATTGAATTTTTTAAAATTCATTATTTATATAGTATAAATTTAGTTTTATACTTGTTATTAATTTTTCTTGTTGAAATCTTTAAAATATGAATACTTATTTGTTATTTACTTTACTAATAATTTTGAGTTAAAAATATATAATATTTATAGTATAAAAAATAAAATGATTGTGGTAGAGTAGCCGAAGTGTCTCGTCAGACACGGACACGCTATTGTAGTTGAAATGTCCGTACAACAGAGGTATTAACTGGACAACTGAAAACTTTGTGAGACCATCTCGGTATCTTATCCGCTTGGGGACTTCTCGTTTGTGGGGAATCAAACTATCACACAACTTGCATTCCAGTTGTCTAAGGATTCCGTGTTGCTGGCATAGCAGGGACTAAAGAAAGCATAGTTGCACAGAAATTGCCTTTTGGAGTCCATATAATTACACAAGTTTTTATTAACTTTCAGCCCTCTCTACGCCTTCAACAATGAGATTTCAAAAGATTATCCTTTCTCCTCTGCTTCCTGACGAATGATAGGTTGGTTAAGTTTCTTGCATGCCTAAAGTCGGATCAACCACCTAAAGTGTCCTTTGATACTAAAACAGGCCAAACACATTCATCCAATCGTGAAGTATCTTTCCTACTAAAGATACTCGTGTAATTAGAAAAGGCAAACCCAAAATAGGATATAAAAACATGGTTACCTCAACAGGCTCCAGAAGTCCCTCCATTGCGTTTCGCACATCATCAATGAGTTCATATATAACTCTGTATAGCCGAATCTCAACGCCTTTGTTATCTGCATAGCTCTTGATAGAGCCAGTTGCTTTGACATTAAAACCAAAAATTATGGCTTTACTTGCTACAGCAAGATCAACATCACTAGTGCTCACATCCCCAGTTGCTTGTAACAAGAACTTCAGAGTAACATTAGTTTGTGGGAGCACCTGAAGGGCTCGTCTGACAGCCTCAATGGATCCCTGGTCAAAATTTAAGATTTTAACTTGACTGCAGATAGTACTAACCTTCCACATTGCACTGAGATGCTTTGAAAACATTAACAATGCCTTCAATTTTTTTTATTTTTCTTTAGTAACGTCTGTTAACAGCACCAGTCAATAGTAGCATCTCAATACATTACAGCTATAATTTAAACACTACTAGTTTAGCAGGATGAGCTGATCTTTTTATCCATGATCCATCAATTAGTTAGATTTTTCCCTCTTGCAAGATAGAATATAACTGAGCTCACGGTAAACCTGGAGAAAAGGTCTTACCTAAAATGACAGAGAATAAGGTAATTACAAAATATTTGAGTATTTATGGTGCAAAACTGTTCATATGGACCTTCATAGAGCAGAGTCGAAGAAGAAGATTCATGTAGCCAACCAATACAAATATGGGTTAAGGTTTAGTTGCATTGATTTCAGACTGCAAGTGTCGAGTTTCATTGCGATTCCACAAACATTTGACCAAGTGACAATTTAGAAATGCAATGGATATACAACTGTTCTTTGCAGTGACAAGTGTGATCTATGAAAGATACAAGGATATTCAAGATGCATATTTCCTGGTAGTTGTATAAAAAATTATCACACAATATTATCAATTGACAGATTTTCAAAATTTTAGTTTGTATATCCAGCTCTCAATCAACTCTAAACCATCACTCCGTCCTCATAGTACAGCTAATTTTGCAGCATATATAACAAAAAATTGGGTTATGGAGCATCACTGATATGCATACCTGAAGATCAACCTTCAGAATAATATTGAGTTGGTGCAAGTCCAATCCAGTAAGCTTTCCTGCTGAAACAGCAGAAGCCAAAGAGGATAGTGTCACCTTTCCGTCCCCAGCTTTTGCTGTTATACGCTTATTTCTCAGATACTCTGCCCGTAACTCTGCTTTTTCACGAGCAACATCAAGGGAGCCAACAACATCAAATTCATCACCAGCTAAGGGAACATTGTTCAATCCAATGACCTGAGTGTGCAGCATAAATATTTAAATTTAAGTTTTGGGAAAAACACAGCTACATAAGAAAAGTAGAGTCCACTACTTATCAGAGCTAAAGAGACAAAGCCTTTGAAAAGTCATCAAATGAGAAAGAAACTTAATACAGATTAGATTGTTTTGAGTTCATTGAAGAATGAAAGCCAAGTTGCTTATTATATTCTCTCTAACTCAACCAATTGTTGTCATAGAATTTTTCTACTCGCTGTGAAACATAATCTATTCTAGATCAAGTACCTCGTCTTTAAGATTTCACTTCTGAAAGAGGAAATAAGAAGATAAGAGAATTTTAAGCAGGTGAAAATTATATCTTTATTCTTTCTCGTATACATTATTTTTGGAGGAAATTCAAGTTAGGCTACTTTTACAACAAATAATCAGTTTGTTTTAGCATTAGTAACAACAAAAGAGTGATTGATGTGTGCAGATCCTAGTCCAAAATCACCCAAATTAGGATGCAGGAAACAAAAATAATAATCATGATAAGAAATTAAAAATAAAGTGGAAAGGCTTAGAGATTAGTGACAAATCTTATTTAAACTAGGATCTTCACTTTGTTACTTACAAGTATCCTTTCTTGCACCTTTATCAAAATATTTGAATTCTTTTGCCATCACAACAATATCAATTTTGTCTCCTTATCTAATATTTTAGGATTCATTAATATTTTAACTTTTCATAGATGTAAAAAACAAATTGTTGTTATCTTGAGCTGCTTAAAATGCCTTTACTTGCAGTAAAAAAAACATAGGTTTATCCGAAATTCTATCCAAAAACATATGTAAAGGTTACTACTTCACAACAAGCAAAAATCTTTCTTTTTCATGATTCCAGGCAGATACTTTTTTAATACTTTTTTTTATTTTTATTAATTTTATTTCTTGAACATACAATTCTAAATTGTAGCTATTGGGACAAGGCCTGAAGCATACTCTCATTCAACTTTTGACAGAATGAATTTCTAGAATGTTATGGTTAAATTTGGGCAGTAAGAACTGTGGCCCATTTGAAGATTTCTACCCGTAGTTTTTACTAGGGAAGTGGAAGAAAATAAAGGACATAATTATTCCTTTCTTTTGGATTCACACGAGGGGACAAAGCAAAATGAAGTGGAAATAATTACTTTCCATTTTCCCCATGAACCTCTTGAAAAACATATAAGAACAAATGTCCAAATATGGGAAGGCTATATTTCCATCCAGAAATCCTTTTGGGCCACGGGTTTATTTCTCTTTTACTTTTTCCCAACTTTATGAGTGAATTACCCAAATGAACTTTGCAAAAGTTTTTACAAGGTCACTGAAATTCAGTGATTTTTAAAGTTCAGCGACCCCGTGGAAACCTTTTGCAAAGTTCAGTAATGAATTGAGTGATTTTTAAAATTCAATGACCCCGTGAAAACTTTTTGCAAAGTTCAATGACTATTTGGGTAATTCACTTCAACTTTCTTCATGACCAAATAAAGAAAAAAAATCAGAAAAGTAATTTATTCTCTTCTTTACTCTTCTCTTTCCTTCTTTATTTTTTGTTAAGAGATATAATTTCACATCGAATAAAAATGAAAACATAGATCAATTTATAAATGTTTGGATTACTCCTCTTAACAAGGTTGATATTTTAAGATAGAATCTCAAGTCTTAACATGATATCAGAACCTATTAAATTCTAACGAGCGATTCGATCCGATTAAGACTTAAAAAAATGAGCACACGGATTTAAAGATTGGTCTGCTCAAAAGAGCCACATCTTACGGAGGCATGTTAAGGAATATAATTCTATATCGAGTAAAGAAGAAAGTGTAGGCCAATTTATAAAGATTTGGACTACTCCTTTTAACAAAGTTGACATTTTAAATGGAACCCCAAGTCTTAACACCTCTCAACTGAACACAGGTAGTTATTTTCAACTTCGGATATGATAGTGGGTTACTTAAGAGTCAAAGAAACTGAATATCAAGTTAATAAAATAAGCAAAAGACTAAGAACTTTTAGCAAGAGAAGGCCATTACCTTCAAGTTATGATGGGGAACAGAATAGAAGAAAATGACCAAAATTTAAGTATACAACATACTTGAACGTAAAGATTCTTAAAGATAAAGCAGAGTAGCATTTAGTTGTTGCTCAAGTTGTACTTCAGGGGTGAATCTTAAAATTCCAGACAATGTAACGAGGAAAAAAATCTAATATATTTTCCTGATAACTGAGTTAATAGTACATGCAGTCACAGAAGACCCAAAATAACAGCTTTCCCAATTGGAATAGCCATAATGAACCAACCAGCTGGAAAACCCAGTACTTGATAGAATGCTGGAGAAGTTAATGGCCTCAAACATGGCATCTTCCCAATTGCAACAGTCATTTTGGAGATCAGGCAGAAACTCAAATTTGAAATTGAAATAATAAAACTGTAAATATTGAGAAGAGCGTGGCCTCTCTTGAGTGAAATTAGATACAATATTATGACACCATGTACATATGCAATAATAAACAAGAATTAGAATATTAAAAAAAAAAAAGAGTAACTAGCAACATACCTGTACAGGCATAGAGGGTCCTGCTTCATCAACACGCTTCCCTTTATCATCAAACAGAGCCCTCACCTGATTGTTGGCAAAATAAGGAAGTCCTTGAATATAGGATAACAAATTTAATCAATTCAAGTACCTAATCTGGCACCCACTATCAATCACATTTTAGAGAACGTAACAGTGAACTTTTATATCATAGATAAGTTCAACACATTCAAGTCTTCTCCACCAACCTTTCCAAATGCTTCACCACAAACTACAACATCTCCTCTTTTCAATGTGCCCTTCTGCACAATAAATGTAGCTACAGGTCCCTTAGATTTATCAAGACCAGCTTCAATTACTGTTCCCTTAGCATTCCTATGTGGATTTGCCTTCAGGTCTTGTAACTTGGAAGGAAAATCACAAAACCCAAATTTAGAATTATACACAAGAAGAAGACATACAGGTATGTTCAATAAAAAACATAAAAAATCTAACATCTGCTAGAACCTTCAAAATTTTTTATTCTTAATATTTAGGGGATGTGCCCAAGAGAGTAAGATCGTGAAAATGTGCCACTCAAGTACAAGGAAAAGCCAACACATGCATATTAATGCTATCAATAGATCATTAAATGCCTAAAGCAGTAAAATGGATGAAAGTCTCTATATAACCAGAACTGCTAAGAGATTAGGAATCAAAATCATTTTTTCATTGAAAGAAGAGCGTATAGCTACCTCAGCCACAAGCATAATGGTTTCCAGCAAATCATCTACATTCTCCCCTTTAAGAGCACTTATCTGTTATAGAATATTAAGCAATAATTTTGAATCAACAGGACACGAGATTAGAATGCAAATAAAACTTCCCGGTTGCTGTTTTGTCACCTTAACCATTGGGATGTCACCACCCCATTCTTCTGGCATCAAACCAATTAAGGAAAGATCTTGCATTACTCGATCAGGATTAGCTCCATCCTTATCGATCTAAAATCATTGAATAAAATAAAGAAACACTAAAATTCTGAAAGCCAATAGGAAACAGTTAAACAAGCAATAACCAACAGCATACCAAAGATACCTTATTAATGGCAACAACAATGGGCACTCCAGCTGATTTGGCATGAGCGATTGCCTCATTTGTTTGTGGTCGGATGCCATCATCAGCTGCTACAACAATGACAGCAATGTCCGTCACTCTTGCTCCACGTGCTCTCATTGCTCCAAAGGCCTATGGAAATGGATAAAAGGATTAATATTTAGTACAAAAAGGAGCTACCATGTTATTCCTGGAGTTGATCTCGTGACACTGTTAAAATGCATGTGTAATGGAGAGAACAAATGAATTCAAGTACGGCAATAAAACCTTAAGATAGAAACACAAGCAAAATAATAAGATAACCTCATGTCCAGGAGTGTCAAGGAAAACACATGTTTGTGGCTTGCCATCAATTGGTACTTGAACCTTATATGCCCCAATTCCTTGTGTAATCCCACCAGCTTCAGATGCTGCCACCTAAACAAAAACAATAATAACACATGTTGCCAGTATGTTGTAGGTCATCACCACATTAAATATGGGAAAATAAAAACAAGAAATGAATGTCATGTTAACAGCATACCTTGCTCTTTCGTATGTAATCCAAAAGTGTTGTCTGCATATGGAGAAAAACCCATTAACTGGAGCTTGCAATGATAAAGCATCTATTAAAACTTTGAAGAAACTGAGTAACCTGACCTTTCCATGATCAACATGGCCCATTATAGTTAGAACAGGAGACCTATCTTCTAATTTATCTATATCGTCTTCATCAAACATTTCCTTCTTTTTTGCCATTTCTTCCACTCTGACAGGGGCAGCATCAATGATTTCCACCTCATACTCTCTGCATATCATTTTTACCATGTCTTTGCTAAGCTTTTGCACGCCATCAGGCTTAATTCCCTTCGAGTATAAATGCCCAAGAATTTCACCTTCACTGATGGCCAAGTTGAAGGCCAACTCTTCAGTTAACATACCATCTTCATCAACCTCCATAATTTCTACTTTCACAGGTGCAGCATCTTTAGCTGCCTGAAGTCTAGCAGCCTTCCGGCTTGCCTTGGTCCATTTTCTCCCCTTCCTTGCAGTAGCTGCCCCCGGAATAGAAACATCAAGTTCAGATGCATCTTCGTCAGGCATTTCATCATCAACCATTCGTCTACGCAGTCCTCCGGATGGACTGCCCTTTTTCCTAAACTCATCCTTAAACTTTCCAGGTGGAGGGCTCTTCCCAGGTTTCGTAGGGGCTAAAACGGCTTGAGAAATCAGAGGATCAACCACAGGTTTCTTAGAGGCAAACTTGTCAATCAAAATTGGCTTGCGCTCTTTCATTGCTGCAGTTGAATTGGTTGCATCAGCAACAGAGGACTTTGCAGCTGCATTTACATCCTTCAAGATGACAGGTTTTTTGACAGAAACCGGTGGAGCTACAGAGGGTTTTGCTTGTAACTGTGGCTGAATTTTCTGTGGTGCCTGAGGCGGCCTTGGTGGTTCCTTCACAACTTTTGGTGAAGTAGCCACAGGATTCCCCTTCCGCCAGACACTTTTTGAAGTCTTAGACTTGCTATTTGAATCGGCCACAGAGTTAACTGGTTTACCATTCTTTAGGCCTGCATTGTGATTCGCTGGTGGTTTATTTACAGAAACAACTGGCTTACTTTTCTCTAGCTTCTCGGCCATCTCCAACACCTCTCCCAGTGACTCGATTATTTTACTCCTCTCCTCCTCACTGTCACTTGCCTTTTCATTGTCTGAATCCTCTTTAAGTTGCATTCCATCCCAAGGCATATTAAGAACGGGTTCAACCTTCGACACCGGTTTCAAAATTGGCTTGGGTGCCGCCTTGAGAAATGTATCAATGTCATTATCTTTACTACCTCTACGTGTAGAATCAAGAGATTTTGAAGTCCCTTGTTCCGTGACGTAATTAGTTGTTACAGAATATTTACGCATACCCACATATCTCCATCTCTTGCCACCCAAAAACCTCACGAAATTACTCCCATCTCCACGAAAAGCTACACGTCTAACTAAACAAACAGACCCTTCAAAATGACCAGAAGAAATCATACTCACGCTTCCCAAATTTACAAGGGAAGCTAAAGAGGCCATGCGTAACACTTATATATCCTTCACCATTAACACGAATTCCCCCAAAAAGAACAGATTTCGTTATCAAAATCAGAAAAATCTATCTTTTAAAACCCTCTTCACTTTAAATTCTCAGTAAGATATTTCCAAGAATTGATAAAATACGTAATATTCTTCGACAACTAAGAAAACTCAGTTCGGAGAAACATCATCAAGAAGACACATGCATATTACAAGATGAAAGAATTGTATGTACCTGTAGAAATTAGAGAGTGGTGTGTCTTTTCTTGATAGGATATTGAAATTTCCCTGTAGTAAAGAGGTGAAGAAAACAGTGTGTCTGAAGAGCGAGGATGCAGAATTTGGGATGGCCCTTTAGTCGTTGGGTTATGCTTGTGTGGCTGGCTCTCTCTGCGCCTATCAACTGGCGACGTTGCATGATAAGGCACTGGCTAAGGTTTTTCCCCAAAATTTTCTTAATTGTCCGAAAAATAAAGCTGAATTACATTGGCTCTGTAATTACAGGGGCGCCACTTGGCGGCCCACTGCCCAAATGGTCACTGTTCCTAAGTAGGATTGCTCCCCAAAATTTAAAATATCGAGTTTTGACAATTAAATTTTTCAAAACGTTAGACTGTACTACTTTAAGAGTATGTTTGATTGGCATGAAAAATATTACCTAGAAAAGAAAATATTTTTCATCTTTCGTGGAAAATAAAAACCATCTCCACTCAAGGAAAATATTTTTCTTAAAAACAAGGAAAATTAGACATATTTTCAAAAGTTGGAAAATATTTTTCATGGAAAAAAATAATAATCAAACACTTCAAGTAGGAATTTGTGCGAAAAAATTGATATTTTTCATAGAAAATAAATATAATCAAACACACCGTAACAAAATTAGTGATGTGGCGAATAGAATATACATATGGTGCCCCATCGTACGCATTAATAAATTGTTACGTCTTTGATTGCTTGTCGAACTTTGAGGTGATCAAATTTTGACAACTAAATTTATAAAAATGACTTTGACCTATTTTCGTTAAAAAACATGTAGCTCAATCGTATAGGTCGCGTAAAAATAATAAAGTTGACAAATGAATTCAAATTGTCGTTTTCATGAGAAATGATTACTTAATTACACAATAGTTAAATTTAATTTTAATATATTTTATAGAATTTTTATTTTCATCACTTGAAAAATTCATATTTCTTGTGTATTTCATTGTTCAAATTAAATTAATATTTGAATTTTGCAATGAAACAACCAATAAATTTAATTAAATTTGGATTTTCATAACGAAATACAATCAAATTTCTCGGAGGGACCAAAAGTGAGTGAAATTCAATTAATTAAATTTATTGTATGCTTGGTTGCAAAATCTAAATATTAATATAATTTTAACATCGAAAAATACAATAAATTTGAATATTGCAAATGATGAAAATAGCTTAAAATTCTAAAAAAAAATGTTAAAATTAAATTTAACTATTATGTAATTGAGTAATCATTTCTCGTAGGATCAATAACTTGGATTCGTTTGTCTATTTTATTACTTTTATGTGATCCGTGCGATTGTACCATATATTTTTTAATGAATAGTAAATTGACATCATTTTAGCCCTTATTTGATTCCTATTCTTCCAAAAATTAATTTTCTCAAAACTCATTTTCAATCACACATTTTTCAATAAAATAATATTAGACGTAAATTTAAAAATTTTCCTTAATTTTTAACCACACATTCTCCATCAATCACTAATTAAAAATGCATTCTTTCACTTAAAATGGAAATCAAACAGGGGCTAAATAAGTTTAGTGATCAAAATTTGACATCTTCAAAGTTTAATGAGCAATCGAATACGTTTTTCAAAGTTTAATAAGCAGTCAAATATGTTTTTCAAAATTTAGTGAACAATTGAAAACATTTTTTAAAAATTGTTGAGTAATTAAAGATGTAACAATTTTTAATGACATTATGAAATGTAACATGTATATTCGGTTAGCAATGTCATTAATTTCATTAAAAGAATTGAAACGGATGTTAAGATAGTGAATAACGTGCAACATTTTTGATAAGTTTAATGGTCAAAATTTGACATTTTAATCTTCAATGAGCAATAAAAAACATAGACATACGTTCAATGGCCATTGGGACAATTAATTCAATTTTCTTTTGATTTTTCATTATCCTCTAATTCTATTTTCAAATATTTGGGGCCAAGACAATTTTTTACTATCAAACAATGAAACAATACAAGTCGAAGACATTTTAATGCATGTGATCACGGCTTACCTCCGATTTGATTTTGCATTATGCATCGCAAAACAGGGGCTCAACGAACTTTGATATTGATTTCTGAATAGTTGAAATTATAAGTCACGAAAATAAAACTCAATTTTAAGACTATCATACTTTTATGAATTTATAAATAAAGTGCTTGAGAAAATTCTCTCTCCTCATATAGCAATGAAGGATGCTAATGATAAAGAGAGAGAACAGTGAAAAGAAGGTAAAGAGAAAAGAGTATTAAATCCAAATTTTTATTTTGTTCCCTTAAAAACTATCATAGCATCACTACAATTTCAAAGTTCAAAGTGTAAATTTTTTAAAGATTGTAGTGAAGTTTGCTTAGATTATGACATTTTAAAATTTCAGTGATGTGTTAATATTATATTATAGGAACAACAAAAATAGAATAAATAATTTAACCTCTAAATAGAACTCAATAGACTAGCGAAAAGTTAAAATTAAATATCTCGATCCTTGCAAAATTTTAAAGAAAAAATTTATATTCTTGTACATAAAATAAAAAATAGTACTTAAGTTAGCACGGATTAAAGAAACTTGGATTCAGATTGAGTTAGAAATTGTCAGGTAAAATGATTCATTAAGTTATATCATAGCAACAATAATTGAGGATGTAAAGTCTAACGTTTTTAATTTGACATGTCGAGTGGGATGCATCCAAAAGGAAATGATTATTCATCTTTATTGCCTTGATTGTTGCTTATAGTTTTTATACAATTCAGACCATGCATATATGCATTATTGTGGACGACTAAATTTGAGTTTAATTTTAATAAAAATGTTTATAAATTTTTTTTAAAATAAGGCAAAACGTGTATTAAAATCGTTTTTGAACTTGCAAAAACTGTACAATAAATTATTTAGATATAACGAAATTGACCAAACTATTCAGCTTGAATAATAAGTTAAATTCGAATATTTCTTTATATGCCACAATTTGATCAAAATCGTTATACTGTGACCACGTAATAGCAAAATTGCTACTCTGAAAGTGCGACTGTAATTCATAACTGATCCCTGCACTGAATGAGATAAAAAGATAACGCTTTTGACCAGTGACCACCTATAATCACGCGGGTTATACGTGATGAAGCACACGCGCCACAAATTGAAGGAATATTCTCTACAAGATACCACTGAAAGAAACCCACAGCACAGAGCTGACTCCAAGGGCTGACACTTAGAGGGAGAGGAAGAGAAGAGAGCGATATAGAGAAGGAAGTGGGAGGGATTAATTATGAAGGACGAGGTTATAAGCTCTTCAGGGGACCCGCTACTGCCCCCCAGATCTTCTTCTCCGCCTCCTAGCCTCACTCCTGCTGCCAGGTAAATCAATTACCTAATTGGCTTGCAGTGTGATGTGTTATTGGGATTTGAGTGTTTTAGGAATGCCTAATCGTACCGGTTACACGGAATTGGGAATTTGGGATTTTTTTTATTTATTCATTTTTTTAATCATTTGTATGTAAAAAATGTTCTTTTTGGGGGAGAAATTGTTCTGGAAGTATGTGATTATTTTGAATGCCTTTTGATTGTGAAATATGGTAGCGTTGAATGAAGTTTGGGTGCTGGAAATCTAAAAGGCCTATCTTTTGCTATACATTTTTCCTTTTTTTATTTTTCCTTTTTTATTATTTTTTTAAATGTTCTGGGTTTTCATCTGACAGTAGAGACATGAATTGGAGAACTAAAGTTTAAATATTAGACATGTTTACATTACAATTATGCATGAAATTTGATGGAGTAGCTTTGTAGTTGCTATGATGTTTCACTATGGAAAAGGAATTTAAGTTTTTATTGTTTGTGGCTTTGTCCTCATCATTGTTGAGAAAAATTCTGCTTTGAAATAGAATCTGAGAAGTGGAGTTGTAGGCTTAACAAGTGGTCTCTTTTTAAAAGATGATGGTCTGTTACAAGCTACCAAGAAATATCTACTATCATTCCTCTATATGATTCACATTGTTTCTTTCCTCTTCTTTTGGGCAGTTCTGTAGGGGCATCATCTCCTGCTGTTCCTACAAATGCTGGCAGCACAGACTGGTTTGGTCAAGTACAGAACTCGAAAGGGGGTTCTCTTTCTCGCATTGGGTCGCAGCCCATATGGACTTCATTGAGCACTAGTGCTGGTGATTCTGCTCTTGGATCATCTCAACCTTCGTGCAGACCATGGGAAAGAGGTGATTTACTGAGGCGTCTCTCAACTTTCGAACCTGCCAATTGGTTTGGAAAGCCCAAGGTGTGATCTTGTTCTTCCTTTGACAATTTTGTTGGATGAAGTATCAAATCTTCTGTTGCAAAATTATCATATTTTCTTCATGTAAATAACTGGACTTTCTTTTTGTTCTTATATATGTACTCTTTGTTATTGTTCTTGTTGTTTTTGTTTATTCCCCACATCATGACAAGATCATTCCTCGCTGGATTATGTTAACTAGATCCATGGGTCCAAGCATGAGATCAAGTGACAGCTATATTATGCATAACATTACCGACTCAGCCAATATAAGATCCTTAAAGGACAAAATTTACGGTTATGTCTCAATTAGGTTCATTACATATAAAAAGCAAATTTTGGTAACTGAGGTTTTGATTTAAGAACTAAGCGTCATGGCTCTACAGATATGGAGAGACTCTGGAGCAATGAACTTAGGGCTTTTTATAGTGGAGAAGGCTACACAAGCAAAAGGATTAGTTATAACCATATTTTCAAATGATGGATGGTGTAAAAACTAGAGAGAATTTGATGGATATCTATGTTCTATATATTTTCACGTTGGCTTTTTATTTGTTTCCTTATCTAGGAGATTTAATTGAATTTCATTTTTGTTGGAAGGACGTATTATGTTAAGTATTTTAAAGGAAACATAATTTTTAATTTTTTAACACAAAAACTAAATGATGTTCGATATGAAGATGATGGAGCCAAATTTGGCTCTATCCAATAATATTTTTTTTGGCACTATTATTTATTTTAGATAGAATAGCCCGGTTTTTTACTTATGCACCTGTTCATCCTCCCTTAGACCCTAAAACACAGAGTTGGGAAAATGACAAAAGATTAACTGATAGTTTAGGAACGTTAACACACTCTAGTGAGAGTGGTGGTGTCAAGACAATTGCTTTTTGGTAAGTCGCTATGGCTAGTTTCTGGTGGTCAACTTTGATTTTTTGGTTTTCAGGGCAAGGGCTATAGCCTATAGGAAGTGAATTGATGAGATGAATCTGTGATATGGTTAGTTGCCCATAATCCAATCTCCTGAGCACTAGAGCAACGGAATTTAGAGCACCGAAGGCAAGAGTTAAAAAGTACTTACATATTTTGCCAATGACAAAAGAATTTTATCTAGTGATGCTGACAATTTACATAATGATTCGATATCTTCCTTATTAAGGTCGTTGATTTCTGTTGCATTACAGACTGTATTCTCCTGGTGAGAATTATCCTTAGAATGAGCTTGGTTGGTCTATCGAGAATTATGGTTCCCATTGTTTCTATTAACTAACTATGATTTTCATTGAAGTTATTAGAAATTCTCCTTAGTACGTCCAGTAGGCATACTCGGATTATTTTTGTTGATCATTCTATTCAGGTTCAATTTTGGTCAACTTCCAGAGCTGTGCTCATTTTTACAGCGCCCAGAGGCAATCCTTCTATGGCAGTAGCGTTGGCATCACATCACACACCTTTCTCAGCTGTGACGCCCCAAATTTTCATAATTTTGAAGTGTTACCAAATATTTACTTTCCTTTATATCAAAGGCGAACCGATAAAAATAAAATTTCTTAAAGAATAAAATAACTGAAATATCCATGAATTTAAACTAAAGATGGAAAATTGTACCTTTAAAAAAATAAAAATATTCAACTAACTAATTAAATAACATGACTTTGAAACAAATTTAACTAACTAAATACTTTTTGTTTTCGAATCCTCTAGGCTATCCGCATTACATCCCGCCACAGTTCTAATCTATCCGAACTAACTTTGTAACATTTTGTAAGAAAGTATTTAAAAATATCCAAAAAGATATGTGCAGTTTTCGTACACAATTATATATAACAAATAAATAAACACTTCATATAACTCTTTTCTTATGGAGCATATCGGTGACTAAGTGACACACCCATATTAGGTCATTTTGAATTCCCGAAGGATTTCATATCTCTTATTAACGAACCCGAAAGTTTACTGACAATTCATGCATATTTAATTGAATACATAAAAGTATAAAGAAACGAACAACTTGCATATAAGTATCTTACCTTGATACATCAAATGAATAGACATACGTTCAATGGCCATTGGGACAATTAATTCAATTTTCTTTTGATTTTTCATTATCCTCTAATTCTATTTTCAAATGTTTGGGGCCAAGACAATTTTTTACTATCAAACAATGAAACAATACAAGTCGAAGACATTTTAATGCATGTGATCACGGCTTACCTCCGATTTGATTTTGCATTATGCATCGCAAAACAGGGGCTCAACGAACTTTGATATTGATTTCTGAATAGTTGAAATTATAAGTCACGAAAATAAAACTCAATTTTAAGACTATCATACTTTTATGAATTTATAAATAAAGTGCTTGAGAAAATTCTCTCTCCTCATATAGCAATGAAGGATGCTAATGATAAAGAGAGAGAACAGTGAAAAGAAGGTAAAGAGAAAAGAGTATTAAATCCAAATTTTTATTTTGTTCCCTTAAAAAATATCATAGCATCACTACAATTTCAAAGTTCAAAGTGTAAATTTTTTAAAGATTGTAGTGAAGTTTGCTTAGATTATGACATTTTAAAATTTCAGTGATGTGTTAATATTATATTATAGGAACAACAAAAATAGAATAAATAATTTAACCTCTAAATAGAACTCAATAGACTAGCGAAAAGTTAAAATTAAATATCTCGATCCTTGCAAAATTTTAAAGAAAAAATTTATATTCTTGTACATAAAATAAAAAATAGTACTTAAGTTAGCACGGATTAAAGAAACTTGGATTCAGATTGAGTTAGAAATTGTCAGGTAAAATGATTCATTAAGTTATATCATAGCAACAATAATTGAGGATGTAAAGTCTAACGTTTTTAATTTGACATGTCGAGTGGGATGCATCCAAAAGGAAATGATTATTCATCTTTATTGCCTTGATTGTTGCTTATAGTTTTTATACAATTCAGACCATGCATATATGCATTATTGTGGACGACTAAATTTGAGTTTAATTTTAATAAAAATGTTTATAAATTTTTTTTAAAATAAGGCAAAACGTGTATTAAAATCGTTTTTGAACTTGCAAAAACTGTACAATAAATTATTTAGATATAACGAAATTGACCAAACTATTCAGCTTGAATAATAAGTTAAATTCGAATATTTCTTTATATGCCACAATTTGATCAAAATCGTTATACTGTGACCACGTAATAGCAAAATTGCTACTCTGAAAGTGCGACTGTAATTCATAACTGATCCCTGCACTGAATGAGATAAAAAGATAACGCTTTTGACCAGTGACCACCTATAATCACGCGGGTTGTACGTGATGAAGCACACGCGCCACAAATTGAAGGAATATTCTCTACAAGATACCACTGAAAGAAACCCACAGCACAGAGCTGACTCCAAGGGCTGACACTTAGAGGGAGAGGAAGAGAAGAGAGCGATATAGAGAAGGAAGTGGGAGGGATTAATTATGAAGGACGAGGTTATAAGCTCTTCAGGGGACCCGCTACTGCCCCCCAGATCTTCTTCTCCGCCTCCTAGCCTCACTCCTGCTGCCAGGTAAATCAATTACCTAATTGGCTTGCAGTGTGATGTGTTATTGGGATTTGAGTGTTTTAGGAATGCCTAATCGTACCGGTTACACGGAATTGGGAATTTGGGATTTTTTTTATTTATTCATTTTTTTAATCATTTGTATGTAAAAAATGTTCTTTTTGGGGGAGAAATTGTTCTGGAAGTATGTGATTATTTTGAATGCCTTTTGATTGTGAAATATGGTAGCGTTGAATGAAGTTTGGGTGCTGGAAATCTAAAAGGCCTATCTTTTGCTATACATTTTTCCTTTTTTTATTTTTTATTTTTTATTATTTTTTTAAATGTTCTGGGTTTTCATCTGACAGTAGAGACATGAATTGGAGAACTAAAGTTTAAATATTAGACATGTTTACATTACAATTATGCATGAAATTTGATGGAGTAGCTTTGTAGTTGCTATGATGTTTCACTATGGAAAAGGAATTTAAGTTTTTATTGTTTGTGGCTTTGTCCTCATCATTGTTGAGAAAAATTCTGCTTTGAAATAGAATCTGAGAAGTGGAGTTGTAGGCTTAACAAGTGGTCTCTTTTTAAAAGATGATGGTCTGTTACAAGCTACCAAGAAATATCTACTATCATTCCTCTATATGATTCACATTGTTTCTTTCCTCTTCTTTTGGGCAGTTCTGTAGGGGCATCATCTCCTGCTGTTCCTACAAATGCTGGCAGCACAGACTGGTTTGGTCAAGTACAGAACTCGAAAGGGGGTTCTCTTTCTCGCATTGGGTCGCAGCCCATATGGACTTCATTGAGCACTAGTGCTGGTGATTCTGCTCTTGGATCATCTCAACCTTCGTGCAGACCATGGGAAAGAGGTGATTTACTGAGGCGTCTCTCAACTTTCGAACCTGCCAATTGGTTTGGAAAGCCCAAGGTGTGATCTTGTTCTTCCTTTGACAATTTTGTTGGATGAAGTATCAAATCTTCTGTTGCAAAATTATCATATTTTCTTCATGTAAATAACTGGACTTTCTTTTTGTTCTTATATATGTACTCTTTGTTATTGTTCTTGTTGTTTTTGTTTATTCCCCACATCATGACAAGATCATTCCTCGCTGGATTATGTTAACTAGATCCATGGGTCCAAGCATGAGATCAAGTGACAGCTATATTATGCATAACATTACCGACTCAGCCAATATAAGATCCTTAAAGGGGAAAATTTACGGTTATGTCTCAATTAGGTTCGTTACATATAAAAAGCAAATTTTGGTAACTGAGGTTTTGATTTAAGAACTAAGCGTCATGGCTCTACAGATATGGAGAGACTCTGGAGCAATGAACTTAGGGCTTTTTATAGTGGAGAAGGCTACACAAGCAAAAGGATTAGTTATAACCATATTTTCAAATGATGGATGGTGTAAAAACTAGAGAGAATTTGATGGATATCTATGTTCTATATATTTTCACGTTATTACATATAAAAAGCAAATTTTGGTAACTGAGGTTTTGATTTAAGAACTAAGCGTCATGGCTCTACAGATATGGAGAGACTCTGGAGCAATGAACTTAGGGCTTTTTATAGTGGAGAAGGCTACACAAGCAAAAGGATTAGTTATAACCATATTTTCAAATGATGGATGGTGTAAAAACTAGAGAGAATTTGATGGATATCTATGTTCTATATATTTTCACGTTGGCTTTTTATTTGTTTCCTTATCTAGGAGATTTAATTGAATTTCATTTTTGTTGGAAGGACGTATTATGTTAAGTATTTTAAAGGAAACATAATTTTTAATTTTTTAACACAAAAACTAAATGATGTTCGATATGAAGATGATGGAGCCAAATTTGGCTCTATCCAATAATATTTTTTTTGGCACTATTATTTATTTTAGATAGAATAGCCCGGTTTTTTACTTATGCACCTGTTCATCCTCCCTTAGACCCTAAAACACAGAGTTGGGAAAATGACAAAAGATTAACTGATAGTTTAGGAACGTTAACACACTCTAGTGAGAGTGGTGGTGTCAAGACAATTGCTTTTTGGTAAGTCGCTATGGCTAGTTTCTGGTGGTCAACTTTGATTTTTTGGTTTTCAGGGCAAGGGCTATAGCCTATAGGAAGTGAATTGATGAGATGAATCTGTGATATGGTTAGTTGCCCATAATCCAATCTCCTGAGCACTAGAGCAACGGAATTTAGAGCACCGAAGGCAAGAGTTAAAAAGTACTTACATATTTTGCCAATGACAAAAGAATTTTATCTAGTGATGCTGACAATTTACATAATGATTCGATATCTTCCTTATTAAGGTCGTTGATTTCTGTTGCATTACAGACTGTATTCTCCTGGTGAGAATTATCCTTAGAATGAGCTTGGTTGGTCTATTGAGAATTATGGTTCCCATTGTTTCTATTAACTAACTATGATTTTCATTGAAGTTATTAGAAATTCTCCTTAGTACGTCCAGTAGGCATACTCGGATTATTTTTGTTGATCATTCTATTCAGGTTCAATTTTGGTCAACTTCCAGAGCTGTGCTCATTTTTACAGCGCCCAGAGGCAATCCTTCTATGGCAGTAGCGTTGGCATCACATCACACACCTTTCTCAGCTGTGACGCCCCAAATTTTCATAATTTTGAAGTGTTACCAAATATTTACTTTCCTTTATATCAAAGGCGAACCGATAAAAATAAAATTTCTTAAAGAATAAAATAACTGAAATATCCATGAATTTAAACTAAAGATGGAAAATTGTACCTTTAAAAAAATAAAAATATTCAACTAACTAATTAAATAACATGACTTTGAAACAAATTTAACTAACTAAATACTTTTTGTTTTCGAATCCTCTAGGCTATCCGCATTACATCCCGCCACAGTTCTAATCTATCCGAACTAACTTTGTAACATTTTGTAAGAAAGTATTTAAAAATATCCAAAAAGATATGTGCAGTTTTCGTACACAATTATATATAACAAATAAATAAACACTTCATATAACTCTTTTCTTATGGAGCATATCGGTGACTAAGTGACACACCCATATTAGGTCATTTTGAATTCCCGAAGGATTTCATATCTCTTATTAACGAACCCGAAAGTTTACTGACAATTCATGCATATTTAATTGAATACATAAAAGTATAAAGAAACGAACAACTTGCATATAAGTATCTTACCTTGATACATCAAATGAATCTTTGAAGGAAAAAACAATGATTTCACGTTCCAAATCTTTTTCTTTACTTCGATGAATATGGGTGTGTATAATGCTTTGCAATAATGGTTAATGAATGAAATTTGGCTTCCTGCTTTATGATTCCCAAACCTATTCTCTCTCTCTGCGCCGTGTGTATATAAAATTTATGTGGTGAATTATGGGACAATTGCACTCTTTATAGTAAAAAAATTGTAGTCGAGTCATAGTACAATTGTTATGGAAGAAAACATGTACCAAACTTGGATAGGATTTAAATTTTGGTAAAACAAATCATGTTACGACATATGTACTTTGATTGAAAGCTAGTACTTGAATATTCTACAAATAGGATAACAATTTAACTTTTCATCTTTATAAAAATAAATATAGGATACCCATTAACTTTTTTTTTTTTCCACACGTGAGACATGGCTGCCACCAATACATTAAATCCTAAAGCAACTTAATTAATTACAAAGACATCCATTCTTAGAACTACAATATCTTGAGCCTAACTTATCCAAATTAACTTTTTTTCGAATCAAAGACTTCTAATAATTACAACATACAAAATGAGTCCAATATTGATATACTAAATCTCATTCCATCAATATCTAATTATTTGGCCTAAATAAAATATGAGTTTTAATACCTAATTCATTTTGGTCCCCAAATTTTCTAAATATAAAATATAAAACAAATAAATTTCATTCTAAAAATTTTCGGGCACTACAATCTTCCCTAAAAGAATTTCGTCATCGAAATTACATCTGTTCGGGTCTTTTATGGCCTATTCCTAGGCTAAAGCAAAAGGTCGAGCCTTTTCCTTTTCTGGCTCATAATGCTTCTTCGAAAGGTCTTCTTTGCAATTTTTGGAAATATGCCCTGTTTTGCCTCATTGATAGCACACATGTTTCCCAAACAGACATTCATCCCTATGCATCTTGTCACACTTTAGACAGGGTGAAAAGACTTGTCCAAAACTTGATCCGAAGTTAACCTTCTTGTTTTGTCATTTTCCTTTTTCTTCGTTGGACCCATTCCATTTCCACTTTCCTGAAGGCTCGTTCCCTTGTTGAGAAGTTTGGTCAATCTCTAACCTATATGAAATTGCTTAGACAGTCTGCAATGCTTGACTATAGGTGGTAAATTGGTGGGATACCAGTATATCACGAATCTAAGGACGCAATTCCAGTTCGAACTTCCTTGCTTTCTTTGCTTTCGTGTTCATTAGGTGTGTTGCACACCTAGAAAGTTTTTCGAATTTTCTCTCATAATCCTCAAACTTCATCTTTCCCTGTTTAAGTTGAAGAAATTCTCTCCCTTTGATCCCTCGGAGCTTGTGAGAAGTATTTTCCTATCACGTCATCCTTGAATTGTGTCCAAATTAGAGCACATTGTTGTGCTTTTGTCCTAGTGTGCGATACTGACTCTTACTAGTGGCTTGCAGCATCAACTGACATGAACTCCACGCATAATATTTTTTGAGCATCTGTGCAAGAAAGATGTTTGAAGATTCGCTCCATTCCTCTTATCTATTAATGGGTCTGCCTTGCCATCTAAGGTTGGAGGTTTATAATGACGAAACTGTTCAACAATTGAACTGGTGTTGTTTGCATTCTGGGGACCAGCATATGCTGATTGTCTACCTAAATCTTGTGCCGCACTCAACAAATCTCCGATGATCGTAGCTTGGTTTTGGTAATCTTGCCATTTTTTTAACACAAATAAAACTTCAATTTAAAAATATTTGATTACACAATAATAATAATAATCTTTATAATGGCGAAAAATTTAAAAATTTCCAAATCTTTACATATAGTATTTTGTTTTCCGGAAAAAAATATTAATAATATCAAATAGATAAATAAGTAAACTTTTCCTAAGTAAGCAAATAACATTTATTTCTAATTTCTATGAGTCTTCAGAATCTTCTTTTGGTAGAGTCTCATCGTCTGAAGTAATGCCTGATTCGTGCTCAAAATTCATAACTAAATCAATAAAATTTTGTGGCTCGAATTCTTATTCACGTTCTTCCGGCTCCATTTTGATTTCCTCATCTGGGTCCTTCTCAGGCTCTTCCTTTGGGTCCTCATTAGGGTTTTCCTTTGGCTCTAGTTCGGGCACTAGCTCTTGTCGTCCTTGGTTTTACAGGATTATGATTCATAGTATCCATTAAAGTCTATCATATCACAATCTTGTTGCAAATATAGCCCATGATCCACATCCCTCACGAAATAAGCCATGTCTCTCCATTGAGGTTGCAAAGTACTTATAAGATGGTATATCGAGGGGACTGTCCCCTCATTATATCCGAACGATCTTGCTTGCTCCTTAGAAAGGAAATCTTCAACATGTAACACCCGAAAATTTTTAGAATGAAATTTATTTGTTTTATGTTATATTTAGAAAAGTTGGGGACTAAAATGAAATAGGTTTTAAACTCCTATTTTATTTAGGTCAAATAATTAGATATTGATGGAACGAGATTTAGTATATCAATATTGGACTCGTTTTGTAGATTGTAATTAATTAGAAGTCTTTGACTCGATGAAAAGTTAATGTGAATAAGTTATGTCCAAGATATTGTAGTTCTAAAAATGATGTCTTTGTAATTAATTAAGTTGGTTAAGGATTTAATGTATTGGTGGCAGCCATAGCTTACTTGTGAAAAAAAAAAAGTTAATGGTTATCCTATATTTATTTTGACAAAGATTAAAAGTTAAATTGTAATCCTATTTGTAGAATATTCAAGTTCTAGCTTTCACTCAAAGTACATGTGTAATATCATGATTTGTTTTACCAAAATTTAATTCCTATCCAAGTTTGGTACACGTTGTCTTCCATCACAATTGTACCATGACTTAACTTTTTTTTTTTTTTTTAAAAATGTCTACAGGAGGGTAGACCTATGGCTCTGATACTAAACTGTAACACCCCAAATTTTCGTAAATCTTGAAGTGTTATCAAATATTTACTTTTCTTTATATTAAAGGCGGAACGATAAAAATAAAATTCTTAAAGAATAAAATAACTGAAATATCCATAAATTTAAACTAAACATGGAAAATTGTACATTTAAATTTTCAAATCAAATTTGATTAAAATTTTGCCTGGATTTCGTTCATTGTCATGTATCAAGTAAAATTTGACTAAAATTTCATCTGAATTTTGTTCATTGGTGCGTCTTCAGTCAAATTTGACTAAAATTTCCCATGCGTTTGGTTCCTTGGCGCGTTTTCAATAAAAATTAACTAAAATTTCACCAAGATTTAGTTCATCGTCTTGTTTCTAATCAAATTTGACTAAAATTTCATTAGGATTTTGTTCTTTAGTGCGTTTCACATCAAATTTGACTAATATTTCATCTTGATTTTGTTCATTGGCGTGTTTTCAGTCAAATTTGACTAAAATTTCACCTGAGTTTGGTTCATTGACCCGTTTTCAATCAAATTAGACTAAAATTTTACACGACTTTGGTTCATTGGCACATTTGGTATCAAATTTGGCTAAACTTTCAAGCGAATTTTTTCGTTGGTGGGTTTCCACCCAAATTTGACTAAAATTTCACATGAGTTTTCTTTAATTTCACGTTCCAAATCTTTTTCTTTGATTTGGTGAATATGGGTGTGTATAATGCTTTGTAATAATGTTTAATGCATGAAATTTGGCTTCCTGCTTTCTGATTCCCGAAACTATTCTCCCTCTCTTCTGTGTGTGTATAAAATTTGTGTGAATTATGGGACAATTGCACACTATTTATAGTAAAAAATAGTAGTTGTACTATTATGTGAGCAATAGGTATATACAACCTTAGGGAGGAGCAAAGCCCTACCTCTACAAAAGATGACGACATAGATTAATTCCAATTGATAGCTACCTCTACCTCTAGTAGATGACGTGAGAGTTAACCTATCCAATACAGGTCTCATCAATGAAATGAATAACTCAGCTCGAAGATTAGAAATGCATATAAGCTATCAGTACACAATAAGTTACTCTACCACACTATTTACAAGTGATAATGATTCTAGAAGATTGTGAAGAAAGACCCATTGTTGCTAAACAATCTGCCACACCGAATGAAGCTAGTAGTTTCTGGTCTTCATTTTGTGGTTGTTGAGCAGCAGTGGTATAGCAATCATGGTTGGCAGCAACGTTGGTGGTTGCAGAGGAATTTATAGAGTTTTCAGACATGTGGAAAGACATGGATAGCTGGTAAATCAGTAAGAGGTTTAACTGAAGCCTGAAGAGGAACTCTGGCAACAAAGCCAATGAAATTTTTTTCTATGGGCACTGAAGGGCTAGAACTTCTTCGGTCTTTTTTTTTTTTTTGTTCTCCTTTCCCTGGAAATTGAGGCAGGAAGAAACAGAAGAGAGTAAAACTCAAGGAGAAGAACTTAGGGCTCTGATAACATGTGATAAAACATTTTTTTCCCTTCTTCTTTTTTTAAAAATCATTTTGAACAAAATTTATCTTATTTACACCGAAATTTTACAACCTAAAAGTATGATTTTGAGCATCTGCTTCTATTGATTCAGCCCTATTGACTCTTATTAATTAAATGGCAACACTTCAAAACAAAATATTTACGAGAATCAAATTTATATGAAGATAAATTCATATTTCTATGAATCAAAAGTCAGGTAGGAAATGAAATTTTTTCTTCCGAAGGGATTTTGAATTCATTGATACTGTATTATGTTTACACAGATGTGAGCTTGATGAGATTTGTGTTTATATATTTCTTTTTGTGCTATTTTTAATTCAGGCTGCTAGTGCACTGGCCTGTGCCAGAAGAGGGTGGGTGAGCGTGGATGTTGACAAAATTAAATGTGAATCTTGCGGTGCAAGTCTCAAGTTCATTTCGTCAGCTACCTGGACTCCTTCTGAAGGTGAATCAGGATAATAATTAATTGTTGCAATTACGTTCACTTGCGGTTCTCATTATTTAGATGTATAAATGCTTCAAGAATCTGAAGATTTTTAGATTCTTCTTGAGATTTTGTGAAATTATCTTGTCTTTGTTGATGCGGTTTTTAGTTCAAGGTTCCTTTTGAACATTCTCATGATCAGCACTGCCGTTGTGGACATCTTCAACAGGATGTTACAGGCTTCTTTTGCTTGTATACATCATTATGAGTTCCACATGCTATGCCCACCAACTCAAACACTAATATAAAAAATTTGAACGTGGTTTTTTTTTTTATAAATATCGAAGTTCTTAATACAAGTAATGATGACGAAATAATATTTTACTAAGAATTTATGGAACTGAGCCCCCGTTTGGCCCCTATTAATTTTCAATTTATTACATTTCATTTTTATCTCTTCTATTTTCAACCATACAATCTTCCATAAAATAATATTACACGTAAATTGAAAACTTTCTCTTCTTTTTCAACCACTCATTTTTCAAAAATACACTATTTCACCCATTAATTTTACATAAAATGGGGGCCAAACTGGGGCTGAATCTGTTATATGTTCCGAAGTTGTCAATTTCTAGATTATTAATACCACTTTGAGGATAGTTAGTAGATATGATATATTATTATATTGTAAAATTTCGAGAAACTATATCCTATGCTTCTATATGTTTGTGAAATTTTTTGGCTACGTAAATATTGAATTTTGTATGTGGTATAGATATGACACTTTGCGAGTGAGACTAGCAAGTTCATATTATAGCAATCAGACTATACAAGTATGTCTAAGTTGAGTCCAAATCCTAGAAGAACATTCTCTTATTATCTAAGCTTAAGTAATTTTCAGCGAGCAAATGCTTGCCACAAAGCCTCTTCTTTACTCTCAAGACTTGCCTTTTTTATTTACCCTTGAATCCTCTTTTACTCTTTGTCTGCCTATGGTTCAGAACATCATCTAATTCTTTGAGAAAATGTTTCATTGATACTTTTTTTGGACAAAGAAGCTTCAAAATGCGTATTTTCTTTGGAAAACTTACAAAATCTTTATTCAAAGAGATTTAAACAGATTTTTCCAAACCATAGATCAAATTTCAGACCTATCCTACTGGTATCTGTCCTTTTTATTTAGAGACTAGGATACTGTAAAGGTTATGAATACATTTTTTATTTTTGTGTCACTATATCATAATTAGGCATGCTACTTAATTACTCAAGTCTCTAATAGAAAATTCTAGGAATTTTTGGCACATATAATCTATATTCATATGAGCGTGAATAATACTAATTTTGAGTCCTATCCACTGACATGCAGAGCCAATAAATATTTTTTATCCATAATCTACTTAACAGATAACATTGAAGGTAATGTTCTGGTGGAACCTCTACAATTAGCTGCGAAGAGAGCCTAGCTTCAGAAACATGAATCATTAATAGATTACTATAAATAGTTGATATTCTGTTTTATGAAGAGAACTTTTTCCAACTTCATACCCTCTATGGTCCTCTCAACAAGTTCTCAATATCAACGATCGATAACACTGAAACAAACCTTCCATGAGTCAAAAGGTATGAAAGCCATCTGTTAGCTGGAATTTATCTAATGTTTTTGGGAGTTTCAATTTCGCTGAAGTCTTGCCATTTTTCTTTTTATGTTTTAAACTTTACAAAGCTGCCAAGAGATACTTTTCCTCAATGGCTATTTGATGTGGAACTGATGCATGGATATTCCCTATTTTTTACTTTCATATGATGAAGAGAAAGTTAGCCAATCCAACCAAACTCCAAAAACGTCTTTCTTATATTATTATTTCTTTGATTATGTGTAATACCTGAAATTAAGTCAATATTGTTGTGTAGTGATCTTGAAGATTGTGTGAGTGTCATCTTATTACAGCCATCAGCCAATTGGCAGCTCTTTAATTTGGTGTTATCCAGTTGGTCATGTTCCCTGGATATTGTAGAGCTCATTTGATTGCTTCAATAATCTAACAATATTACAAAGTAGTACAGTGTAAGATTCTAGACATCTTAAGTTCGCATATATTTTTTTAATTCATGGTATGGGATCTTTTCTTTGCACTTAGTACTTCATATTCCTTTCTCGTCATGCTTGTTTGCTTAAACCGATCAGTAATAATAATGTCATTTATTTTAATGTGGTATATACAATAATCTAATTCAAATTATTCTCATGTATTGATTATCGTTTGCAGCTGATATTGCTGGGGAAGACTTCACCCAGAAACTAGATGGCGGGCATAAAGTTAACTGTCCGTGGGTGGGAAACATCTGTGCAGAAAGCTTGGTACAGTTCCCTCCTACTCCACCATCAGCATTGATTGGTGGTTATAAGGATCGTTGTGATGGACTACTGCAGTTCCCATCCCTGCCCATTGTAGCTGCATCTGCATCTGAGCAAATGCGAATTTCTCGGGGTCCAGAAATTGACCGGCTTTTAGCTCAGTCTCAGTTAGAGGGCAATGAATTGGGCTTTAAGCTGGAGATTATATCGGGGCCTGAAAATGCCAGAGATGATATCTTCTTCATATACTCTCGTGTATACACACTTGATTTTTTAAATTTTTTTACTTGTTTCTAGACTCATTGGATATTAATTTCAAGACTAAAAACTTTACCTCAAATTATAGGCTCAAAAGCTGATAAGCCTGTGTGGATGGGAACCAAGATGGCTTCCAAATATTCAGGACTGTGAAGAGAATTCAGCTCAATCGGCCAGAAATGGATGTTCAACTGGTCCTTCAAAAAATCGTGGTCACCGTGGCAAGAAGAAATTGTTTGCTTCCCCAAAAAAAGATTATGGCATAAATGAAGTTATGGCTCCCAAGTCAAAATTCGTGTCCAGGTCACCTTTATTGGATTGCAGCTTATGTGGAGCCACAGTGAGAATCTGGGACTTTCTCACTGTTGTACGTCCTGCTTCTTTTGCCTCCAATAGCAGTGATGTTCCTGAAACTAGCAAGAAGATGGCATTAACACGTGGAGTAAGTGCGGCAAGTGGCATCAGTGGATGGGTTGCTGTGGATGGGATGGAGAAGGAGCAGGGAGAGGACCATGATGAAGCTGCAACAGACGAAGGGAAGTCATTGTCAAACATGGGGGTGGATTTAACTCTTACAATATCTGGTGGGTTATCCTGTTCTCGGTTGCAGATGAATGTCATGCCTGAACAATACCAAGATGCACCTGGAGGAAGAAATTTAGTGGTTAGACGGCCTTCCAGCAGCGAGGTTGGTGATCGTGCAGTCTCATATGAATCATGTGGTCCTAGTTCTCGCAAGCGGAACTTAGATGAAGGTGGAAGTACAGTTGATAGGCCACCACTATTGATGCAACATGTTGACAGTATTGAAGGCACTGTCATTGACCGTGATGGTGATGAAGTCGATGATGTTAAACAGCATGTTGGTGGCCCTTCAAAACGTGCCCGTGACTCTGATATTGTTGACCATCGTTCCTCGTATAGGAAAGATTCTTCTGTTGCTGGTCCTAGCCAGCCATTGGGAATGGATATAGGAACAGGGGCTCTGAGAGATCTTTCTAATCAGGGTCCTGAGCTAGCATTTGGTTATCCATCAACTAGAGATTCTACACACGCTTCCTCCATCATTGCGATGGACACTGTATGTCACAGTCCAGATGATGATTCAATGGAAAGTGTTGAAAATTATCCTGGAGATTTTGATGATGTTCATTTTCCATCTACGTCAACCTTCAGAAATACAGATGTCAATGAGACATCTGAATTGAACTACAGTAACCAAGCACAACAAAGTACTTGCCCAGCTGTAAGAAGTGTTGGTGAAATGGGTGTTAGTAGTACAAATGATGAAGAAGTGCTAAACGCAGATACTGCAACTGGGCATGGGAGAAATGGTCCTAGCTTTGGAATTAGTGGAGGAAGCGTTGGAATGGGTGCTAGCCATGAAGCTGAAATTCATGGCATTGATGTGTTGATCAACAGAGCTGATAGTGTCGTTGGTGATGTCGAGCCAATTGCTGAAATCACTGATATCCAAGGTCAGACTAGTGAATTTGCTCCAGATCCAGGGCTAATGGGTGATTTTGTCCCGGAAGAAATGGACCAAGAGGATCGTGCTGGTGATAGTCAAGATTTTTTGTCTCGGTCTATGGGAAGGGCTGATAGGGGCTCAAAAATTTTGGGTTTTGCCAAGGAAGGATCTGTTGAAAGTGGTGAGAAGACCAGTAACATACGTGCAGCACCCCATGGGAACAGTCCAAATTATTCTCTTTCTTGCAATGCCATATTATATTCTGGCTGTGATGCGTCCAAGGAAGAAGTTACACAGGCTGGCAAAGATTTGACAACTGATGACTGTAACTCAGGCTATATGTTTGCAAAAGGGACAGGTGATATATTTTGTCTTTCAACTTTCATTATGCATCGATCTCCTCTCTCTACACCCTTCCACTCCCTCTCTCCTCTTAAAAAAGGAAAAGAAAAAAGAAGAAGAAGAAAAGAACTAAATAAATGATGATTAAGTGCATTTATGATGATAGCACTCGTGTGGACCAGAGACGTTGTAGGGTATATGCAAGGGTGTTGGAGGCCGCTGATGATTGATTAATTAATTAATTAGTTGCTAATCCTATTTTAATTATGATTAATTTAGTCCAAATTTCGAGGGACAATTTTTATTTGAGAATTGTAAAGAGTTTCCTTATGGAATGACATGATTCACAGCTTTAGTGCTTTATAAATGAAAATTATGGATAAACAATAACTAAAGACTTCTAATGTTGCTTTAAGCACATGGTCATCTTGCATATAGTGTGCTTAAGAAAGTGATACAAAGCTTGAATCGTTTCCTCCCATTATTGATGAATTTTCAACCATCTAATTTTGATTTTGAGACCTGTAGAGATTCTAAACTACTTGTTGATGTTTAAGAGAATAGTAACCCTTTTGTCCTTATATTATTGTTATTTTTTGAAGCAGACCTTCACTCTCTCCTCTGCCTTCTTTTTTCTTAGTTCAATCTTTGTCCTAGCACTGCATTGACACTTTCTTTGGTAGACAATATGTTTTCTTAGGGTAAATATTTTCTCTTCTATTCCTCCCATCATGTATCTTTTCTTTTAATTTGTTACTTTCTGCATGCCTTCTTTGTTCTCAATTTAGGAAACTTTATTCTTGCATTGCACTTTAAATGGGATAATTTTTTCTATTCTTGCAAGATTTTATGTTAGAACAATTAACAACCAAATATATTGTGCTGGAAAAGTTTGGTTTTCTCTTTACTTGTAAAAACTTTGCAAAACTTGATGCAAACACTAATTGCTATTTTAAGGATTGACATATATGTATGGGACAGCATGAAGGACAGTTGTGTTCAGTTTTGAAATCTTAAATGCAATTCACACTTCAAACTGTTTCCCCTAGTTGGCCACATTTGAAACTATTTAAATAACCTGAAATTGATATTAAATTTTTTTCAGACTAATAGATTCATAATGCTGCAATTAGCAGTTTCCATATCATGTGTCAGGGTTCCATGATTGATTAACAATCAAATGATTAGCTGTACATAGAATTCAGTTGCTGCCTCTTATCTGGCTCACTGGCTGTTTCTTTTATAAATTTGTCATCGTTCAATGTTCAGTGTTTTCTTGAATATGTAACCATCATTCAGGGCCACCAAATGATGGATGCAACTATGAGGAATTTGTTGAATTCGATCCAATCAAGCATCATAATCACTTCTGTCCATGGGTGAATGGAAATGTTGCCGCAGCTGGTTGCAATAGCAGTAGCGGATCTGGTTCCAGTGCTGGTGCTCAGGCACTATGCGGTTGGCAGCTGACACTAGATGCTTTGGACGCTTTCCAATCGCTAGCACAAGTTCCAATTGAAACCAGGGAATCTGAATCAGCTGCATCCATGCACAAGGTTGGTGAATACCTATGATAACATGAACTTGTCTATTTAAACAGTATCCTGTTTTGTCCTTGACTGTTATTGGAATGGATCATGTTCTTTTTTCCTCATTTTCTTTTATTGCATAATAGAATCTATACGAGGGATTGTTGATAATAATAAAACATTTAAGTTATAAAATGTCATTGTGACACAATTGTGGAACAAGATGACAAACATGAAAGGAAAAAATTTGGTTGCATGTTCTGACTAGTGTTTCGCGTTACAATGGGAATAAGATGTTATATCTCAGCCGTCAGACCATTTCTGTCCTCTTCTATTGATCTTCAGGCTTCCTCAATTACCATTCCTTTAAATCTGTGAGAACATTAGCTAACATGACTTGTTTGCAGGATGAGCATCTGACTCCTGGTCGAAAACTCTTGGCACGCGACTCACTCAGCTAAAATGTGAGTTAGAACTGAATGTGAATTTCAAGGACAACTGGTATTTTTCATCATATTTTGAGAACTATGCAATGATAATCAATATCTCCGACATTGTTTTACCATTTCCGGGGGGGGGGGGGGGGTGATCCTGTATGAACTAGCTTATTCTCCTGTGAGTGCTAGACAATATTTTCGAACACTTGCACCCAGTTTGCTGAATTTAAATATGTTCTTTGACGTGGTTTCACCGCCACCCACAATATTTTGGTTGGCCAAGAGGGGTTTGTTAGTATTATACGTGGGAATGTGCCCTAGGCATCGTTTTCTGCATTCAGGAAGTTGGTTGAACCATTTGCATCTGTTTGGCCGCCGCAGGAATTAGTTTTGCTTGGATCCCAACAAAAAACTGTATATATTGAGTTTGAACAAATAGAAGACCTACTTTCCTGATGACCTGGTTTGGTTACTTTTTGATTTTCTTCGATTTTATTAAGCTGGTTTTGTGTGAGAGGAAGGAGATATAAAATGTCAGTCTTGTTTGAAAGATTGAGATTAATTCTCTTATCTGTTTTGTCGAAAAACACTTGGAATATAAAACTGGCTCTAGCTTGAATATATTTGAGTTAGTTTTAGCCCAAAGTTTGGAAAAGGTTTTTTCGGTTGGCATCTTGATAAAATGTTCAGAGTGAATTATTCTCGTTTCACCCAGTAAACTGATATTGAAACTTCCTAAAGGATACATTTAGGGTCATCTCTGAACTCGATTTTATCAGATGATTTTTGGTCAAGAAGGTTCAGATTTGCATAATTTTCTTTCATGGTAGGCAAGAGCATTGATCACGGCGAATCTAATTTTCCATGATTCTTCATAGGATGAACATCTTGGTTAAGGTTAGTACATGTACATGTGGCTCAATTATAGCACATCACAAAATGCTGCTCGGAATAATGGTCCTGCTCTGGTCTAATATCATCGATTATGTTTTATCTATTTCATGTTTTTTCCGAAAAGTGCTGTGTATTTTTTCGTAATTAAATTTGTGAATATTCTTGCAGTTGAGGATGCTGCCTGCAGCAGTCATCACAGATCAAGGTCAAGTCTAAGTAAATCGATTGTCGAGAAGTTGTTCGTTACTCTTGTGGGCCATCTTTATTTGAAGTCAAAATTCCATCAACTGTAATGTTTATCGAGGTACAAGTGATCATTAGTTTCCTTAATTCATAATAATAGTAGTATAATGGTACTTCTGTAGTGGTATTGCAAAACCTTAAATCCCTTTTGTTTTCGAGATACCTTTGCACACTTATTTCTCAGACAAATGACTCCAGCAAAATTTTGATTCTTGTGTTTTGTCACATATATGGTTTGTTGATCCTATCTTGTCATATTTACAAGTAATGAAAATCAGTATTTCTTATCACTATTTAATTGACATGTCATGTCTCGATATATAATATACATGTCGATTAAATAGCAACTAAGAGTATTGACTTTCATATTTCAGGGGTAATGAAAATTTTCTCATGATACAAGCTGTGAATATGAATGCTTAGAGGAATGTTAAGATTTTAGATAGGATGATTAAATAGACGATTGTGATATATATATATACAATGGTTTTACATACAAATGATGTGGCGGAATATGATTGGATCAAAATTTCTTCAAACAAATAATAATAATAATAATAATTTCTACTCTCTTTTTGACGTATTACTTATGTATAAATTATTATGTAATTTCATTATGTACAAGTAAAATTATTCTTAAAAAGAATACACAATGATTTCATGTGTAACTATACCCATATGCTAGAGTGACTATTTGGTATGTTTGATTTGTCACCATTGAACAAATTGATGACGAATTTCGTATATACTTTTTCTTTAAATCTCTTGCAATAAATGTAATTAAGGGGCAATTTTTCAAATTTTTTAATTTAAAGTTATAAAAGGAGAAACTTATAAAGAGTAGTAGTAACCATCTTAGTTTCTCGCTGGGAGAAACACCAATGTACTTAATGGTAATTATTCAAACTAGCGAAATTTCAACGCTAATTATTCGAACTAGTGAAATTTATGCATGAAACCATATGCTATGACTTGTACTAAAATGCTAATGTATTATTGCTAAAGTAATCCGGTTGTTACTCCTTAATACAATAAGGCGGGGCATTTATTATCATCTCTGTCTAGTTTTATTGAGAGTCAGAGCAGGGCTAAGATTAGGGATGGCAACGATTCGGTTTCGGTTCGGTTTGATCAAAATCATCGCTAAACCGTTAAATTTTTTGCTATACCATAATCGCACCATAACAACGTAAATCGATTCGGCTCAGCTCGGTTCTTTTAATATTATGAAAATAAATTATTTTTTATAGGTTCATCCGTCAAATTAATATAAAACAATTTATGAAAAGACAGTCAACGAAAACGAAAACACAATATTCCAAATGAAAATGCAAACATTATCCCAAATTTCAATTGCAAAATACAAATTTAACAAACAATATTATGAATATAACAATACTAAAATTTTCCTTCATTCTTGATTCTTGTGCATTGTAGTTACTTGATTCATGATCAATAATTCAAAAGTTTCAACCTTAACTCATATGCAATTATCATTCTTCCCAACTCTTATTAGCACAGATTAGTACTCAAAATTGGTTCATATATAATAAATAAGAAATGTAAGTAGAGAATACAATAATACCATCTAATCCAGAATGATTTTAACTAATATTTAAATAAAAAAATGTACCTCTTCGTCAATTTCCTCCTCATTAAACATTGTCATCCCTAATAAAAGAATGATTTTTTAAAGTAGGTAATCGGTTTGGTTTCGATTCGACGGCATAAATACCATACCCACACCGCCACGAATTGGTTCATTAAAATCAAATATCATATCCGCCCATTGCACCATCGGTTCGGTTAACCGCGATTTTCGATTTTAACGGTTCAAATTACCATATGATTTAATTTGAAAAACATAAAAATAAAATAAAAAGAATCAAGATGGTGAGGAGGATGAGGACAATATTCTTCGTTCTCGCTCCGTTTACTATTCGGGACGGGTCATGCAAGGAAAGGCAAACTCCCCACTCTTCTCAACGGTTATTTCACTACTTTAAAGTTTCATGTAATGCACTCTTCTATGCAGCTATGCTCAAAATCGAAAGAAAATTGATAAAGACAGCTATCCTCTTAAGAACACAAGCAACTTATATCATTAGTGTTGGTTTGTCGTTGCTAGTAATATTGAGAATTTGTTTGGAAGAGAATTATTTTTATTTATTTATTATTTTTTTGTGAAATTGATTTACGTGAAGAATGAATGAATAAAAAGTAGAAAAATGTCATGAAATGTGGTTAAAATAAATTTTTCTCTTAATGAGATAAGTTCTACAAATGGGATACAATCGGTCCAATTCTTATTTTTCTTAATCATATAGGCAATAGTATGCATGACCTCATTACCTTCGAGAACACAAAGAAGCAAGATTTCGTTTAGTATAATTTTTACTTTGGGTTAATTTCACGAATGGTCACTGAACTTATAGAAAAATTAACAGTCACTAAAGTTTAAAACTTTCAGTAACGGTCACTTAAGTATTGTAACGCTTTAAAAAATGGTCACTGAAATTTAAAAATTTTTGAGCTACTTTTGCGGCAATTTTTCGACCACCTATACCACCGAATTTTGATACTGTTGGAAAGCCTACAATGTCCTCTTCAATTACAACAAAAAATCTCCCCCAAACTCCAAAGGATTCGGCTGAAATAAACCCACAAATTTGGCTGCCCGAAAAGGCAAAAATCTGCCCAAATTTTCAAATTTTTGGTGGACATTTGCAGCGATTTTTTGACAACTTCCGATTACCAAAATAGCCAAATTTTGATACCGTTGGAAAGCCCACAATGTCCTCTTTAATTAGAATCCAAAATCTCCCCAAAACTCCAAAAGATTCGATCGGAATAAACTCACAAAGTTGGAATCCCAGATTTTCGCTTTTTTGGGATGCCGATTTTACGGGTTTATTCCGGTCGAATCCTTTGAAGTTTGGGGGAGATTTTGGATGGTAATTGAAGAGGACATTGTGGGCTTTCTAATGGTATCAAAATCCGGCGGTTTTGGTGGTCGAAAGTCGCTGGAAAATTGCCGTTAAAGTCGCCCAAAAATCTGAAAATCTGGGCAGATTTTCAATTTTTTTGGGGCAACTTTTGCGGTGATTTTCTGGTCGAATTCCTTGGTGTTACGGAGAGATTTTGAATGGTAATTGAAGAGGACGTTGTAGGTTTTCCAACGGTATCAAAATTAGATGGTATCAGTGGTTGGAAGTAGCCGAAAAATTGCCGCAAATGTAATAAAAAAACTAGAAAAGTGTTTTTCAACTTCAGGGACTGTTTCAGAAACTTTTTAAACTTCAATGATCATTTTTGAAAGCGTCCCAATACTTAAGTGACCGTTACTGAAAGTTTTAAACTTCAGTGACCGTTTTGTAATTTTTCTGTAAGTTCAGTGACCGTTTGTGAAATTAACCCTTTTTACTTTTATTTTTGTTGTTTGTAGAAGAGATTTTAGAAGAGATTTACCTTAATTTCTGTTTTAAAACTAATTTTTAAATGAGCTTCCTATTTCGAAAGCCACGTTAAACCAATTTTCTCTAAAACTCTTCTAATACCTAGAAAAACTTTCATAAAATTAGTCAAACAAGTCATAGAGCAATTTTTTTATTCTTAAAAACTCATTTTTCAAGACATTGATTCTACTAAAAAAAAATAAAATAAATCAAAAGTCAAGTTTCCAGATATTTTGTTGAAAATTCCAACTAAGTTAAAAAAAATACTTTCCTTACAAAAAAAATTGCCGCAAATTTTCACCAAAGGTCACCAAACTTATAGCTATATTTCATGTTATTCAATTTTAATTTGGTCTCTAAACTTTTAATTTGCTTCAATTTGACCATTCCATTTATGATCATTACCACACGGGACTTTGCCAACAAAATTAGGGTTAATCCTCTAAATGGTCACTAAACTTTGCCGAAAGTCCCCAAAGGGTCACTGAACTTCAAAAATCCCCTGGTTAGTCACTCAACTTTGCCAAATGGGATCCCATCCTTCACCGACCTGACTCTGTTAGTAATATTTGACAATTTGGTCCACTTGTTTGACAAAAGAGGTGATGTGGCAAGGTTTTAAAGCTGGAAAAAAAATTCTTGAAAGAGAGAACCACGTAAAAGGCTGGGAAAAATCATTTTAAACACCTAAACCCTTATTTTTCCCCAAATTCAAAATCTCTCTTACCAAATTGGAGCTTATGGAACTCTTGGTGGAATTGCCCCAAGCATAGTTGATGTTGGCCGAGCTGGCCGGCCGGGGAACAACATCGACGGGCCGCTAGCTGGATAATTATGTGGATGCTGGTCGAGCTGGGACCTGAGGAGGCTATTGATATGGTGAACGACAGCAGCATGAGAAGAAGGGAATGATGGTAAAGATTAAGGATAAGTTGCTTGATGGTCGCTAGATGACATAATTAAGTCTGTCTGTGTGTGCTCCAAAATCATGTTTTATGCTATGCTTAATCTAGATGGATGTGTTATTTTTGCTCAATATGAGAGACCGAGACCTCCTCCATCTTTGAATAATGCACCTACATACAACCAAAGCTGATTGGAAGAAAGGTCCAATGGTCGAAATATGCCATTATTTTGATCAAATAGAGCATTTAAGTAACAATTGATGTGTGGTGCTTTTAAATATCAAATAAAGCTAATTGGAAGATGGTCTGGTGTTGCTGTTGGTTGGATTTTTAATTTCTTCTTGTGAGTGGTGCATTTCAGTTGCTGGGTTTTTTTGCCAAGAAACTCAAAATCTCATTCATGATCAATTAACACTCCATCTAGCGGGGTGGAACCACGGGTGGTCAGTGACAAAAGATCAAGCTAGTTTTTTAGGAAAAATCCACATTGTTCCAGGGGAATTTTGTCATGCCCTGCCAATGAGCTTAAGTCTAAGAAACCACTCTCTGTTGCAGATCCCATTACATCAACATTGGTCTCTAGCACAATTCGAAAGAGCTCTAGTATTATATATAGCATCTGTTGTAGGAACTTCAAATATGTTGTAGTTCTCGGTTCAATTAGAAAAATATAATATGGAATGTTGTATTACTTTTGTTGTAACATCTTTCTAGTAAATCAATGGGATGTTATTATTATCAATGGGTTATTATTATTATTATTATTATTATTATTATTATTATTATTATTATTATTATTATTATTATATCTTCCAATGGACCAAATTTTTTATCACTGGACAACCATAAACATAGCAAAATTGAAATGCAGGTGCACAAAATACTCATTAAATTCAAGTGTAATTACATTGCTCCAAACAAAATCATATCATATCTTCTAAATAGCCGGACAACCAAAATACTACAAAACAAACTCCGACATTTATCAGATAGCTTGGCTGCTTCCAAACAAAATACAAACCAAAAGATATCCACATTTTTATCCCTGCTGGTGCTTTGGCAGCTTCTAATCTCCATCTAACCACTCTCCGCTTTCATGAACTTCTGGTTCTACGAACTTATGGTGCCTTTTGTTATGTTCCTTTTCCCCACAAATAGAACATGTCATGTATACAACACCCTTTTTTCTTACTTGTGATTGTGACTGTGAATGTGTCTGTGACTGGGATTGTCCATCTTCATCAGGTCCTTTTCTTCTCTTTTTTTGTTTTCTTCCTGTTGAAGGAATATACCAAGGGGGAGGCAAAACAGGGAAATTTGAACATTCAAGCCATAACGCCTTACCATTAATAGGGTATATAACATTCTCGTATGTGCTCATGTAGGTCTCAACCTTACACCAGTCGGAGACGTAATCTCTTATCTTGTGACCCATATCCAAAATGCAAGCAATGGCATGTGGACATGGAATGCCAGAAATCTGCCATCGCCTACAGGCACACGTTCGACTATCCATGTCCACAACAAATTCTCCATATGAACTCTCAACTTGATATTGGTTTAGCCCGTTCCATCTCAAGATACATTCACGGGCTGCATCACAGCACTTCTCCAACTTCTTTTGTATTTTGGCACATATGGGTTTGTTATAATATCTTAACTAGTCTCGCTTTACCTGAATTCTATGGATGAGTTTCATCTGAATGCCTACCAACATATCTAACAATGATTTTTCCCTTTCTTCCAAAATGAAGTTGTTAAAGCATTCACAAAGATTATTAAGGAGCATCTCACACTTCGATTGATTTGAAAAATGAGATATACTCCATTCGTTTGGTGACTTTGTCATCAACCATCCATGTGCCTCCTTCTTGGCATTTTCAATCTTAGCCATCCAATATTTAAAAGATGCAAAGTGACTAGATTTTGCTGCACCCCACAAATAGTCTTTCAATTCCTTACCCTTAAAGTCACTCCTAAAGAAATTCTGATACATGTGTCGGACACAAAATCTATGTTCGGCTTCTGGAAATAATTCAGCAACAACATTAATTATTCTCCTTTGTCTATCGCTCATGAAGGTCACAGATGGCCAATTTTCTATAGCAAGATCTTCAGACAACAACGTCAAAAACCACCTCCACGAACTAGTGTTCTCCCTCTCCACAATTGCATATGCAATCGGGTATATACAATCATCTGCATCTACGCCAACTGCTGTTAGCAGTTGACCACCATATTTCCCTTTCAAAAAACATCCATCAACATCGACAAAGCGTCTACACCCCTGCAGAAAACCCTTCTTACATGCCTCTATGCAAACATAAATACCCCTGAACACATTATCCACTTGAGAGATAAGCACGGTTGAACCTGGATTTGTTCTCCTTAATTCGTCAGCATAGCATCCTAACATCGCAAATTGTTCCTCATCACTCCCCTCTACTAATACTTTGGCGTACTTTCTAGCGTTTGAAGCTACTTTCTTAGTAATGTGCACTTCCGAATCCATTCTAACTGTAGCTCTAATATTTTTTGTCTTCCAATTAGGATCGGATTTGAAATTATCCAAATAGTAATCGGCCAACCACTTATAGGTTACGTACTTATTTGCACGTGCCTTAAAGCAAGTGTGCCTAGGGTCATACATTTTAATCTGGACCATTTCTCGACCTTGTATCTTCGAAGCCCACAACTTCCATGGACAACCTTCCTTGCAAACACAATGCAATTTATTTTTCTCGTTGCATTTGAAAATCGGTTCAACTTGATTGAATACCGCATAATCCCTCACCGCAGATTTTAATTCCTCAAACGTCGCAAACAATAACCCCACCTCAAATTGAGGATTTCTCTTCTCACTACCAACATAATATTCAGGATAATTGAGTTTACCACTTAATCCCTCCGAATCTGAACCACTTAAGAAGTTTAGCTCCTCCGATGATGCATACGAAGAACTATCAAATTCTTGGCCTTCTACCCGTTCCACAATATGCATACCCATTTCGATGCCTTCGGTCACATTACGATCGAATAAGCAATCATCATCATCATATACATTGTAGTCCGAGTCGTTGAAGTCAGGGTCTTCATCTGCAATCATAAAAACAAGTACATAAATCTGCATACCCATAAACTACAGAGACACTTATTACAGCAAAGGTTGAAAAATTCCAATCCAACGGGCAAAATAAACTACAGATACATGCAAGTTGTAGATTTGGGACAAAATGACTATATATATATATATATATATTCATGATAAGCATGAAAAATGCCATGCAAATCTTCTTCATTAATAAAAGAAAAAAACTTAAATAATATGTATTTGAAGATTTGTGAGTCAAAGAACTAACAAATACCTGTAGATTCACTCTCAACACCAAGCATGTCGCGAACTCAGCCACGAACAGGTCGCCAAATCAGCCGCGAACGGGTCATTATTTTGGAGTTTTTGGGCTTGCAATTTTTCAACTAAAATCGTCGGTGTTTGGATGTGTCGATTTCCAGTTTAGAGCCATTGATTGCCGACGACGGGAAGAGATGGTTTGAGGAATCTGAATTTAGGGGAAAATAAAGGTTTGGGTGTTTAAAATGATTTTTCCCAGCCTTTTACGTGGTTCTCTCTTTCAAGATTTTTTTTCTAGCTTTAAAATCATGCCACATTACCTCTTTTGTCAGACAAGTGGACCAAATTGTCAAATATTACTAACGGAGTCAAGTCGGTGATGGATGGGATCCCATTTGGCAAAGTTGAGTGACTAACCAGGAAATTTTTGAAGTTCAGTGACCCTTTGGGGGCTTTTGGCAGAGTTTAATGACCATTTAGGGGATTAACCCACAAAATTACGACCCAATTTTATTTCTTACGGTGCACTTTGCTTATGTTTTATAAAAGAGTAAGCCTTCCATGGTAGAAAATGAAACGTGCTAAAGAAAAAAAAAATTGGATCAAGCAATAAATTTTGCCGATCGAGATGAAATAGTCAAATTGAAACAAAAATATAAGTTGAGGTCTTCTTTGACAAAAAGTTAAAATTTAATGACCAATACGAAACCTAAAGCTACTATTTACAACTGGCAAACGGTGATTGGTAATTTCGGTCAAGAGAGCAAAAAAAAAACCAAAAACCCTATTTCGTTTTTTAATAAACCCTAATCTTTTTCAATCCGAGACCTTAAAGACCTAAATTGCTCTGCGTTTGATAGCTAAGAATGGATCCTCAGCCTGAACCCGTCAGCTACATCTGTGGAGGTACTTTGAACCCTATAATGTGTTCTTGACTTTTTGTGTGGGGTTAAATTTGCTTAGCTGATTATAGAATGATAAAAGTGGGTTTGCAGATTGCGGACAAGAGAACACGCTGAAGCCAGGGGACGTGATTCAGTGCCGCGAGTGTGGTTATCGAATTCTTTACAAGAAACGGACCCGCAGAAGTAATTTTCTTTATCGATTGCAGCAATTTCTTTATAATGGAATATATTTTTGTTTACTTTTTTTTATTCGATAATTTTGTAGTTTGTTATGATTGATTAACAACTAGGTTAGTGGATTAGTTCTTTTGTTTCTTTATTATGGAATATATTTTGAGGTTTTGTTTCTTTGCATTCTTTGTGGGGTAAGAGTAATATCAGAAGGGTTCTTGCAGTAATTTTTGTTTGATTAGTTCTTTTTATCCTCTGGGATGGATGTCCAAGGCTCGACTTTCAGCTGAAGCCTCAATATTTCAAGTGGTTTTCATGTTAGAGATTTTGAAAATTTTGGTATTTGTATTATGTTGGTAAAGATAAAATTTCCCGGTTTTGCTTGGCTAGAAAAATTCTCTATGTTTGGTGGTCTAAAGCTCCATTTATTTCCAATGAAAGTGGAGAAAAGATAAATGTTGGGTAAATCTAAATTTCAAAGATTATCTCTGGAAAGATAGTTTAATTATTCCCTTGAGTTTAGTAATACTTCCAAATTTGTAGAAAATATTACTTAATAATTTATTTATTTTTTGAGCAATCTTTACAACTTTATGTTACTGAAACTGGTCTATATTTTTCAAGTTTTTACGCATAATTTCTGTTTAACAAACTGGAAATTTGCCTGTATAAATTCTGTTTATACCCACATTTCTCGGAAAGAGAAAACAAATTGCATTTTTTTAAATTTTAATGAAACAGGGTTATGGTAAATTTAGTGCTGGTTTGAGAAAGCTCAAAAAGTTGAAGTCTCAGTGAACCATTAATTTTAGAATAATATTCTTCGCAGTGAAGACTACCGGCAGTCGCCTTATGTGGCGTAGACTTGACAGTTTTTCATTTGATGTATAATTCAAAAAATAACTACCATATCTATTTATCAAATACCAAATTGTCAAGTATATGCCACATAGGGCGATTACTAGCAGTCTTCATTACGAATAGCAATACTCTTAATTTTAACTGCACATTTAGGACCCACCACATCATTTTTCAAGATCAACTTTTTAGCTCTCCCAAATAAGCACTTAATATCGTATAGCTGGAAAGTGGACTGGAGTCTCACGATCAATATTAATGAACCTTTTTTTTTGTACCATGAAATATGTTTGATTAAGAGATAAGAATGCTTTATCATAGTTAGGTAGTAAAGGAGATGATAATTGTGAAATATGCTAGGTTTCAATAACTGGTGAATTTGACCTTTAATAAACATGCTTGTGATGTGTAGTTGAAATACAAGTTTAAAATGCTGAGTTTCATCTTGTTGTAATGATGAAATTTTAAGGGCAATTTTAAGGCTACTGCATCTGGTTATTATGGTATGTAAATTGAAGTCTATTTGTCTTTGACAATTCTTGAGATAATAGAACAGCCAGGTGCAAAGGGATAAAGATAAGCGTGGTCTTCTTGATTCGTAGGTGGATTAATGAAATAAACTAAATCTTGTGATAATAATATGGTTTTAGCTTCTTATATATATTCTTGTTTTTATGGATATTAAGCATATTAACTATTCTGCCAAGTTAATATCCTAAAACAAAAAGAATACAGTCTGTTCCATATCCAACACCTTTTATTTGTTGAGTGTTCTTCTCTTTCTTGCAAGTTGTATGTTGTCCTCATTTTAGACAAATTCTGACTCTCCACCTACCTATGGGGTCTTGAAATAAATGAATGGCGAGCAACCACTATGGAGTAGACTCGAGCTTTGAATGGAGCTCATCACAGTCGGAGGTGGGGGCATAGATTTTTAGATGGGAGTCCTTTTAAGTAGGCTGATGTTGCTTAAAATAAATATGACACTTATTGCAAGTCTTCCAATCACAATTTCTGCTCTTCGATAATCTAGGGTATCACATGGTGGATTGTCTGACCTAGAAGATGCACAAACGGTTTTTTAATCAAAACCAGCTATGGTAGGGTCCCATTCATTGATTTGAGGAGAACTGTTCTCTATCCTCTCACCTCTAGAATTTTACCCATTTAATAATATTCATGGATTTTGGTTGCCCTAACTTCAATTTTTCTTGAATAAGCGTGGGAATCCATGGTAGAGGGCGATAAAGAACATGGGATCTTCTTGAAAATTGTTGAAATTATAAAGGACAAAAACAGCGCTCTACAAGACTTAACTATTATATCTTTCCATTTTTAACCTGTTTTAATCTTGTCTTCTGCATTACACCTCTGTTAATTATAATGGATTATTGGTTTCAGAACACGGTTCACATCGATATATTGCATTTCATATGGGTACTTCTAAACTCCAGGATTAGTCTTGATCCTTTTCACTAAGTAGGCAATGATATTGTCCCTTCGAAAATGCAACATAAGCTTTTTGAGACTAGCTGATTGAAGATTCACATAATTTCTCTTTGGTAATTACTGTTACTATGATTTATATTACCCTTTGCAGTTGTCCAATATGAAGCACGGTGAATCTGGGTGAAACAGCCAGACTCGAAGCTCCAGTGCAAATGATATTTTCAACATTAAGCATTTTTTACTGCCCTACCACTACTACATGTTTACTGATGTTTTATAAGTCGATGGGGACTGTTATTCTGTAAAAATTCACTTATTGTGTCGTGCTGCTTGTTGATTGAGTTGCACACTTGCTTTGTGTTCTGAAAACATAACTTGGTTCTATTATATTAGTGATTAATACTTGTTACAGGCCCTTTAGAATATATCTCGACCCTGGAAACTTTGATAAGCAAAGTTTCGCATTTAAACACAGAAAACAGAAGCAAGGGACTCTTGAATAAAGATTTTACATTTTACTAGATGTGCTGTTTACAAGACTAGTCAGGATCATAGATTGGGAGGAGACTGCTGTTTACAAGACTAGTCAGGATCATAGATTGGGAGGAGACGACGGTAAAATCAGCTGTAGGGCGTGGATGGTGGAGATTGGCCGAAGATGAGGTCGGAATTAGCCATGGAAGGTGGCAATCTCAACCCCTCTGTTATTATGGGCAACTGGTGGATCATATTTGCTGAAAAGCCTATAAGAGGAAATGAGTGTGAGCCCTGCATAGCAAAGAGTAACAATGAATGTTATTGCTATGGCTGCGGTGGCCCTTCGGCAAAAACCACCGAATGATCCGCAAGCTTGGCTCCATGTAATGGCGGCGTCTCCTTTATAGGCCAAGTACACCACCTCCGCCGATATGGCAGCCGCAGCCAGGATCATGTAGGTCAGAAGCTGCACGAAACAATACGAAATTTACATCTAAAATAATAATAATAATAATAATAATAATAATAAAATAAAATAAAACTAGTCTTTTGCCTGGTTAGAATCATTTTATGTGACGGGACTCTGAAAGTAAAGAAATAGAGCAGAATAAGTGCTTGATTCTATTTTTGTTTCTAGAAGAGGATATTCATGAGTAAGTTTTCTTTGGTTAAGTCTTCGTAAAAAGCTCCTTTTAGATATACTTAAGTTTAAATGTACTTTCTCAGTTTCAAAAGATATTTTGACTTTTCAAGAAACATATCACACAGGTTCTGAATATGAGCATACCTGGTCGAGAATGAAGAATGTCCAGGCTCGTGACATGGTCGATTGCTTTGGTATGGCGGCAGCGACGGCAGAGAGAAGAGAATAACCAGCACAAATGCCACTAGCATGCACTAAATATCTGCACAAACACCCCCCTTTTCATAATCGCCAATGCGTCTTAATTTATATGCTAAAATCACAAAAACTCATTAAAATATACCTGAAAGCACCAATATCAGAATAGTGCAAGGATCCAAAATCATTAATCTGTGAATCCTTGAGCATGATGACTAGCGCCCCCATACACAGAGCCATCGGCAGGATGCGCAGAAGTGTCTCCACCGTGCGCATGGTGGAGCTTCCATTTTCATTTTCAGTTGTGCCCTTTTCAATCTGTGCATTATCTTTCATTCTCTTGCCCTCCATTGCAGGGAATTTTTGTGTCTACTTGCCTCTTAATGTTTATCAAGAAAGATGGGAGTGACTAGGGAGAGTTGGTAACCGTGCACATCACTACTTATTGATGAATATAGGTAAGGTTTGGTGTAAATGAATTAAATGTTCATTAAAGGATTACACAGTTTTCAATGCACTTGCATGGACACTTCCCGCCCTCTCTCTGCGTCTGTATGTCTATTTATGGGAAAACAGCTATGATGAGAACATGCTATGATCTAGGCTGGACACGATCAAATCGTACCAAGCTACTGTTTGAGCTCCATTATTTTTCATTACATTAAATTAAAATTTTTTTTCTCTCATTTTTAATCACACAATTTCATAAAATTATATTACACATAAATAAAAAACTTTTCAACCACTCATTTTTTAAATAAAATACTATTCAAAACATTATAATGAGAAATAATGGGGCTCAAACTGGGTGCAAATCTGACTGAAATTTTATGGCGTTTAATAAGTGGAACGATCGGGTTCAAATTTAATTATGAAATCCTTGAGGTTCGATTTCATTTGGTTCTCGAGTTTCGTATTATTTAAATTATTTAATATTTACAAAGTTATATTAATTCAATTAGTAATATGTTCAATTTGAGTACTTATAAAATAACGCAGTTCAATTTTATGTATCTTTTGCATCTCTCTCTCTCTCTCTCTCTCTCTATATATATATATATATATATTTTTTTTTTTTTATAACTTTGATTGTTAAAATGATAGAAAGAAGAAACTAACGAGCTTACAATAATTAAGAGAGATGTAGTCGAGTTTCAATTCAATTTCTCCAGAATGTTTAAAAAAGGTATTACAATAGAATAATGGATTTGACTAAAATTTATGTCAATTTAATTAATTACATTGATCTTAGATTTAAAATTAGAAATAGAGAAAATCATATATTTGTGTCTGATCTAAACTAATTAGTTAATAAATTTATTTAGAGAAAAAAATAATTTGATTTATTTAAAATAAATAAATAAATAAATTTGGGTGATTTGATTCTTAATTTAAAACCAAGAATTGAACCGAACATGTCGATTTTCAATTTAGATGTCCGTTCAAATATTTAATTTTAAAAAAAATCACTCGATTAGGTTCAGGTCAGGTTGATTTAGGAGTTTTGTCCAACCCTAATATGATTTCTTAGACGGTGCTCATTTTAGTTTTGAGCATGATAAAAACTTATCGCTAGTGATGTGGAAAAAAATCTTATTTATGATCCTCTAAAATGATTATAAATACAAAAAACTATAACTAAGATACTCTTGATACATTAGCGTGTGAAGTTTTTATTCTAACAGTTGGGGCAGGAGATCAATTCTATTTCACTAGATGGTGATGATTACGTACATAATTTGTTCGATCGAGCTCCATTTAAAAGTTAATTGATATTATTGAAGGAATGTTGAACATTTCACGACAGTCTATCAATACCGATCTATAGTCCCAGCGGCATGGTTAGAGCAACTTGAGGGCATGATTTAAACAAGGAATTTTTTTCAACATTTCACGATATACTACTATCAATATTTGAATGATCCAATATGTAAGTTTCAGTCGCTGAGTTAGAGCAACTTTGAGGGCATGATTTAAATAAGGATTTTATTTATTTATTTATTTATTTTTCAAACAAAACGTAAGGATAGCCAGGGGAAAAAAAGGTTATAATTTTGTACTATTTTTGTCTATATATTTTACTTCTAAACGCCGTGTAATGAGCTTTGTGATGATATCAAACAACAAAATAATATAATAAAATTGATAATCTTTTAGATTTTACAATTTGAGATCTTAGTCTAGGAGTAGGATAGATAAGAAATTTGTGTAACATCAATTTCTTCACTATTTAATTTAAAACAAATAAAAAAAATCTTTCAATAATTCAAATTCCAAATTATATCATTTAAACAAATTAATACATGACAATTTTGTTGGAATATTGTGGTGATAATGAAACTGGATTATAACATACCGTATGTGTAGTTTAGATACTAATTTTAAGCATACTGTATATGTCGCTTACCGTATATGCAGTCTACCGTATTTGTAGCCTACCGTATTTGCAGGCAACTTACCGTATTTGCACCTTTCCATATATGCAGCCTATTATATTTGCAGAAAACTCACCGTATTTGCTTGATACCATATATGGAACTAACATACCGGATATGCACTTGCATACACCAAAATGTAGAAATACCGAATTTGGATATATTATATAAATAAACACCGGTTGGAAAACTACCAAACAGAATGTTATCAAATTAATTAATTTTCTTCAAAAATTTTTCGACATACATATAATAAACTGTAAAATTATATGAAGCACATATAACAAAATAAGCTAGAAAATCTACGAAACATAAGATTAAACAGCAAGTAAATTCCAAATAAATCTACAAGAATAAATCGTAAATATGTGAATTGTAGAAAATAAATAACTTTTCAACCCGATGTCTGTGCGAGCACAGTTTCCTTAAAAAAGATTCCCCCCTCGCCGTGAGTGCTTATGGTTTAATCCGAGCGTTTGTTTCTCAGGATACAATGGTAAAACCTGTAGAATCTGAGCAATCCAGAAACTATTTCGGTGAACTGATTTAGCGTCTAAACAATATCATCACGACCTTACTGGACAGATTTGCATATGCAAGAAACTACAACCCTACTGGAGAGATGCTGAGAGGGAAGAGAATGATTTTTTTTCATCTGAGAAAATTGTTGGAAACTAACTTTAATTATATAGACTTAATTTGTCCATTAACCATTGGTTTTATATCAATTTCTGGAGTTTCAAAAACTCAAAAGTCAATGGAGAAAGCAAGAAAAATTGCAAAACGTGGACTCTCCAAAGGGACCAATTTTTGCTTCGTTTGGTCCGATATTCGTGAATCCAGGCCGCGTTCGTACACAAGTTTAAGGTTCGAAAGCAATTTCGGTCCGAGATTTGCACCCCCTACGCGCGCACGTGGAGAGAGCCTCTATGCTACACATGATTACACCTTTCCAATATATAGCTATATTTAAAGTGGTTATTGCTTTCATAATTTTCGTATGTGGGATTAAACTCATTTTTCCCACATAAACCATCTTTCAATGGTCATCTTTGAGCTTCAATTTCTCATTCACCCAAGCTTCATTTTTGGCAAATAAATATATGATTTTGATGCTCTCACGAAGAAGAACATGGATCAACTTTGATCTTCCAAATTGGATCGACGGGTCCTATCGAAAATTTTGCCAAAAGTGAGTCATTTCCTCATTTTTTTCCAACAATCCCCCACATTAATGAAAATTGGGAGAGAAACGAGACCGTGAGACACAAAACTTGGTGATAAAGTTCAACGGTTAAAGCCTGTATAGGATAGGTAGGTATTACCCTTTGAACCTTTCCTTGTAAAAGCATATTTACTTTACTATTTGACCAGTAAACGTGTTGTCCTTGAAATGTTCTGCCGTTTTTGTAAATGATGATATACTTCACACAGAATTCTTCCTAACACAATTCAATTCTCATTATTATGTTCGTTTTGGCCATGAACATATGCCTGGTTCTGTGAGAGTTCTTAAGATTTGAGCCCCACACAATTCTCTTAGAAGCGACCCCATTTCTCTCTCACATAGGTGATTTCTTATTACAAGTAACCCACATTACTTGGCTCGATTTTTAATGCATAAGAATCATTAAAAGCCTATTGCTTATCCTTCATCCTTACGGGCATCATTGTTACCTCATAGGAATGGACAGTAGGTAACACCCCCCACAATGATTTTATTAAGTTTTTACAATTAGGTTGTCCCTTTGAACCTAGATCTTGGGGTCTCCAATCAATTAGGTTGGGTTTCCTTTGTAATACTTATCCATTCAAGGGCTTAAGTCACATTCCTTTCGATGACTTCCCAACTAACTCTCTATTTAACCCTTTGGTTAGCGGATCTGCAATGTTATCTTTTGAACTTACATAGTCAATAGTGATAACTCCAGTTGAGAGTGGTTGTCTTATGGTTTGTGTCTTCGACGTATATGTGTAGACTTACCATTGTACATCTTACTCTGTGCCCTTCCTATTGCTGATTGACTGTCACAATATATGCAAATAGTTGGCACAGGTTTTGACCATCTTGGAATATCCTTTAAAAAGTTGTGCAACCATTCAGCCTCTTCACCACATTTATCTAGAGCTATAAACTCAGATTCCATCGTAGATCTGGCTATAATTGTTTGCTTAGAGGATTTCCACGATATGGCAGCACTTCCCAATGTGAACACAAATCCATTGGTGGACTTTGACTCTTTTATATCAGATATCCAATTAACATCACTGAATCCTTCAATGATCGTTGGATATCTGGTATAATGTAGTCCATAGTCACGAGTACATCTTAAGTACCTTAGTACTCTTACAATTTCTTTCCCGTGATCAGTTCCTGGATTACTCGTGTATCTACTCAGTTTACTGACTGTATAGGCTATGTTTGGTCTTGTACAACTCATCAAGTACATTAAACTTCCAATAACTCTCGAGTATTCTACTTGAGAGACACTTTCACCTTTGTTTTTAGATAGATATTGACTTGTATCTATCGGTGTTCTAGCCAAGCTAGTATCATCTTTATTGAACTTTTCCAAAATTTTATCCACATAATGTGACTGAATTAGAACAAGTCCATCTGATATTTTTGAGATTTTGCCCCCAAGTATAACATCAGCTAAACCCATATCTTTAATGTCAAATCTCGAATTCAACATATTTTTAGTGGATTCAATTATCTTATTGTCACTACTAACAATAAGCATGTCGTCAAGGTAAAGACACAAAATGACATAACCATTTTTATTATCTTTGACGTAAATACATTTGTCACACTCATTGATTTTAAATCCACTTTCTATCATGATATTATCAAATTTTTCATGCCATTGTTTGAGTGTTTGTTTCAAGCCATATAGTGACTTCACCAATTTACAAACTTGTTATATAGTAACTTCACCAATTTACAAACTTTCTTTTTCCGCCCTGGTAACGAAAACCCCTTGGATTGTTCCATATAAAATTTTTCTTTT